AGTAAGTAAGTAAGTAAGTAAGTAAGTAAGTAAGTAAGTATGTAAGTAAGACAAGCAGAAACTAATTTTTTAAACAACAGATATTCTTTTAAAATCTAAGCAAGAGGGGGAAAAAATTGAAAAGCGGTGCAATGTAAGTAAGTAAGTAAGTAAGTAAAAATAAGACAAGCAGAAACTAATTTTTTTAAACAACAGATATTTTTTTAAAATCTAAGCAAGAGGGGAAAAAATTGAAAAGCGGTGCAACTGAGGATCAGGGGAAGCCAGAATAGTAAAAAAAGTCAGATGTTGGTTGAAAATGTGGAGATGTCGAGGGAGAGTAAAATAAGCTGATGAGCTTATTTCAAGTGGCAGGGGGTTCCACCTGCTGAAGGGTCCCCCTTTAACCTCTCCACAATGTGTTACCTTTCATCTTCTCCCGGCACCTTAAACCCCTACTTCTAGACTTGTGTTTCTGAATCAAGGCCTTGCAAAACTTCCCAGGAAGGAAGGCATGGGAAGCCAATAACGTTTCCTGGTAAAGTACCCATTCTTAGTGCGGAGAAGCAGCCATCGGGGTTGTGTTACTCTGAGGGTAGCGGAGTGCACAGTTTAACCTCAGAGCTACATACCAGCTGCAGTTTTAAAACACAGCCTGCCTGAATGCATGCAGTTGTCTTTATGTCTTGCACGTGGCTGGACGTGGAGGTCCATGGCATCCGTAACGCTCTCCTTGAACATCACATTTCAAATGCATTCATAGTCAAAAGTGTGAACCTGCCAGCAGCCGGAGGTCTGGCCTATTTATCAAAGAAAGAATCCAAGGTTTGTTTTCTACTCTGTATCTTTGGTTCGTTGGAAATCAAGTAGCAGAACAAGCTAGGATCGAACTCAGGTTGCAAGCAGAGGCTTGACTACAGGACTGCAGTTTAACCACTTCATCCTGCTGCTCAGAATAAAGCAGGCAGCGCTTGACTGCAGGACTGCAGTTTAACCACTTTATCCTGCGGCTCAGAATAAAGCAGGTAGCACCTTTTAGACAAGTTTTCTTTTGCCCTAGGCCTTCACGAACCGCAGCCCACTTCTCCAGACACAATCCTGTACCTGCGTACGTAGGAACAGGTCCCTTTGAACTCAAGAGGAGTTACTCCTGAGTAGACGAGCCTAGGATAGTGCCCTGAGAGGGACTCAAAATCTCTTGGATTCCATATGTTTTCGCATGCCGAACTCTACAAAGATCAGGCTTGGTAGGCGCTCAGAAATCAGCAACGCGCTGGCGATCCGTCAGTATTTCGGGAACAAGGTGGGAAGGAAAGAACTCAACCTTGACATACTTAGATGTTGAAACAGGCTAATTAAATACATTTAATAACTTCTGTGGCCGGCTTGCAGAATAGCTGGGGGGGAAAGTACCATTGGAGAAAAGAAAAAGAGGGAAAGAAAAACAATCGGGAGAAAAAAAATCTGCAGGTCTTACAACCCAACCCTAACATAAAAAGGAAACGGCGCAGACTTTAAAAAAAAGTTCCAGAAACGGGCCCTAAGCCAGGACATTCATAAAGCAAAGGCTTAAGCTCCATGCCTAAATATAGTCTCTCCCATAGCATATGGTATGGCAAAAATCATTTTCCTGTGCAGAGGGCCAGACAGGCAGCCAAGAGGAGGATGACTAGCCATCCAGAATGTGTCAGTGCGCAGGACCGATCCGGCTCCCGCCAGACACAAAGTACTTCTGAGTTTCAGAGGAATGAAGGGTCAGAAAGAGCATGGATCTGTTCTGAGAGTCTTGGAGTAAGTCTCTGAACTGGGCAGGTGAGAGTTGGCCCTCCGGACTTTCTCGGTTGACCATTCCCATCGGCCACAGCTAGCGGGGGATCATGGGAGCTGCGATCCAACAGGATCTGGAAAGTCATGGAATCCCCATCCCGGGCTGAGATCCGTTACAGCTGACATCCTGCTCAGATCCATGTGTTTCCTGCACCCATCCACACCCTGTGCTACGTCACTTCCCGCTGGCTGTTGGGGAAAACACAAAGGAGGGGGATGTTGTCAGGAAATAGGAAAAGCTTTATCTAAGTGTTTTTTTTTGGGGGGGGCAGAATGGCCCCGGACTGCTTTTCTGGGCCGCACTTCCTTCATAATGTACAGCCCTGTCCCAAGTATTGAAAAGTGGTGTTCCCCAAGGAGGTGCCGAGTTTGAATCTTGGTCCCTGAGCTGTAGCTATGGGGAGGGTGCATGCAAGGTGGACCCCACCCAGACGCCTCTCATGGGAAAGACCCTAAAGTTGTTAGAAATTTTATTGATATTTTAAATAAGATGCCTTGGCATTCGTTGGCTCTCCTGCAGTCCTTCGTTGCCTTTGCTCATAATTTCAGGATGAACCTATTAATTTTTCTGGCCTCGTCAATCCCATTTATGGCAACCCTTTGAGCCCACGACCTCCCAAAGGCCCTGCTCAGCTCGTGCAAAATCTAATTAATTCTACATTTTTTAAAAAAATACACAGTCCCCTGAAATAGTCCAACATTTTCCCCAATTGCTCCACAATTAGAACGGTAGAGCTGGAAGGGGCACCCTCTGGATCATCGAGTCTGGCCGCTGTCTAGAAGGACCAGTGGGAGAATTCGAACTCCCAACCTCTGGCTCTTAAGCCATGGAACTGTCTAGCATGATGGATAGACAGGGAGAAAGACAGCTGGACCAGGCCTGCCTGTCTATAAATGAGACCCCCCTCCCAATGCAGGCTTGTCCGTTTTTTTTACTGGCAGAGCTGCTCACCCAGCCTCCCCCATCTAATGTTTATGGTCTGGAAAGAGTCATTTTAAACAGTTCAGGCAGAGATTCTACGGGTACAGCACTTATGTGTAGTCAGATGTAACAATGAGAAATAATTCACCTGCCCCGTGCTTTTGAGGGGCATGTTCTCAAAACTGACAAATGCAAAACGCCCATTTCAGAAGTTACCCTGTGGAAAGGGTTCTCTCGTGAATCCTCTTGGCGATATTGATTCCCTGGCTTTTCAATCTGGCAGGGGTGGGACAGGTTACGTAAATCAAGAAGCAAAAGGTGAACCACAGGTCATTTTGAGTTGCCAAGCAAGTTTCAAAAGCATAACGTGGACGGCGAAGATCAAGATAAAAATGCAGAAACACGGTGTCCTTTTCTTCTCTGCTTTTAAAGTTCACCTGACCTGACTGTCACAAAGCAAACATTGTCCGCTTGGTGATTGCCGATAGACACTGGACAGGTTGACGGTGGCCCCTCGAACCACAAAAACATACTGTTGTTGAGTCCCATTGAGTTCAATGGGGTTTATTTCCCCGTAAGTCAAGATAGGATTGCGGCCAACTGTGGTCTGAATTATCTGCACATGAACCACCGCAGATACTTTGACCAAAGTTGCTGCTTTCTTTATGGCTTTCTACAGCATGAACGATGCCATGGCTGTAGATGGCTGGGGGAACAGGAATTCCCTTTGCAGGTTTGTGACTTTTAATAGATGCCTTTTGCCGAGCTCGGTTTAATTAATTAACCTTTCCATGAAGGTTACGACGCTCAAGCGACAGCCAATTTCCTATCCTCCAGCCTCCTGCCCTTCAAATGTTTTTGCCATTTATATAGAAAAGGAGGTCCGGTCAATTTGGGACACAGCAGACTGTGAGAAACGAGGGCCCGTGGGAATCCGGCCCTTCTCAGGTTTTCTTAACATTTTGTTGTACGAGAACAAGAGGTTAAAGGCATCTACAGCGATCGCAACGAGACCCTCCAAAGTGGAAGTCCAAGGATCATCATCATCAGCAGCAAAGGGCCACCAGGAGTGGGAAGATAAAGCTGGCTCAGCAGTGGGTCAGATTAATTGCCTCTGGTTTTATTTTCCCCCCCCCCTTTCTCCTGGAAGGATTCTGGTGTGCAACTTTTTCCCATTTCATGTTGAGGTTCATAAATTGCATGGATCCCGGGGTGTGTGTGTGGACTTGCTACCCTTCCAGCTCTGCAATTCTGAATGATGATAACATAAGAAATCTGTTGGAAGTTGCATTTGTAAACTTTTATGTTCAGAATAACTTTTTAAAATATATATACAGAGGGCCAGGAGGGAAACCAAGGCTGGAAAAGCTACTTACTCCAAAGGAGTACATCCACTGTTTTAAAACTGCCAGCATACACATTCTTAACAGCAGCCAAGGGAAACACATAGTCTTCCAGTGGTGCGGACTGGAACCCCCATCAACCTTCTCTATTGGCTATGCGATCTATGGCTGATGGGAATTCTAGTCCCATGTCTAGAGAGCACATGTGTCTTTACACACACACACACACACGAATCATGGAATGCAGTGGGACGTGTACAGATACAATTCTGCCACTTGGTGGTCTTTTCTGAACTTTTCAGAGCAAAACCTCTTATCTTGGACGTGCCTCCTTAAAACCCGTCATTTCTCTAATTCTGTTGGAAACAAGCAAACAACAAACCCAGCTAACCTGAGGACGTGGCCTTCTGGGAAAGTGGATATGAAACCAAAACAGAAGGCGCATAACGATGATGGTGATGTGCTCCTCTCCGCCATATCCAAAATGGCCACCAGTATACCTACGCACACAATCTTAGAACGGCAGAGCCAGAAGGAGAACTCTGCAGATCATCGATCATCTTCCTATCAAAGCCCAGTGAGGAATCAAACTCCCAACCTCTGGCTCGGCAGCCAGACGCCTGAATCCCTGAGCTAGAATTTGATCATTCACGTCTACAAGATAGTCAACTTCAAAACATAGCTCCGTATAATCCCATTCCATGGGAAGAAAGGAATCCGATACAAAGCATAAGGTTTTGCTGCTGATGTGTCGTGGGTTTAAATAAGAAAATATCCAAAGAAAGAAAGGTGTCTGAGAAACAACATTTTAATAGATGAAATAAATACTCCAGTACATGCAAGATTTTTTTTAAAAAAACTGTCACTGAAAAAAATAATAATTAAAAAAAAGAATCAATTTCTTAATATAGTGTCACCCTCGAAAGGTGTCTGAGAAACAACATTTTAATAGATGAAATAAATACTCCAGTACATGCAAGATTTTTTTTAAAAAAAACTGTCACTGAAAAAAATAATAATTAAAAAAAAGAATCAATTTCTTAATATAGTGTCACCCTCCCCAACCCTGTTATAAACACACTCACAGTAGCTTTTGCCCCAGTTTGGAGTTGCCATCCACCCGCCACTCAACACTGCAAAATTCACCTCTAACCAAAGACCTTGATTCAAAAGTAATCATACAGAACAAACAAAACGAAACAGAGCTACATCCGTCGTTCAAAGGTTCGCTTCTTGCAGACTTACGAAAGCTGAGGTAACGTATTTCTTCCTGCAGAACTGAACAGTGAAATTTGGATGGGGGAATCCCGGAAGACGAAAGAGAAAGAAAAAGGGGGGGGGGAAGGAAAAGTATTTCCCTCCCCCACCCCCTGCGAAAACCACACCCAACACCATGAAGGCTTCTTCTGTTTATTTATTTGTTTTAAACTATCTCCCTCGTTTATTGTCAGCCTTGAAACTGTTCTTGGAACCCTTCCCTTGTTTACGGAGTTTATCGAATGAAGATATGCAAATATATCAGCTGTGCTGTACTTGGAAATCAGCCCCCCCCCCAGTTACTAGGCTTTAAAAAAAAAGTACAAGCCTATAAAGAATTGGGACTGGAGGGACGGGATTATACGAGAACCAAGACCGGTGTTGGGGTTACGTTGGGGTTGAAGGCTGGGGATTGAGGAAGGAGAGAGCTCTCTGGTCCTCTTCTGCTAGCCTGCTTACTCACCTGTATGGTGGTTCTGGATCACCACAGGTGACCAGACTTTGACTGAAATACATGGCTACTCTGATCTGCTCTCCCCTCTACTCTCTCCTCAAAACATGCCATCCATCCAAAGTGGGCGATTTCTACATAGGTGGAAAGGTGTCGCTTTGCTGCCTCGTGTTGCATCAGAAATGAGATCTATCATAATTCTCAGGATCAAAGAATCGGGCTCACTTCCACAAATTCTTTGGTATACACAAAAACACAGGAAGAGGGAGAAGGAAGTTAAGTCTGGTTTTTTTTGTTAGCAGTGGCCATGCCTCAAGGTTGGGTAGAGTGAGGGGGGGAGAGAGAAAGAGAGAATATTAATTCACAGAATTTGAATTCGCTGGCGGTAAAGTCCGGGGTGAAGACCGTTCTCTGAGTGCCTGAGATAACAGGTTGCAGCCATCTGAGACAGCGCACGCCGAGTTCCTCAACCTTTCCCTGGATTCAGCCACCTTGGGGCTACTTTCGGAGTGCTGGGCGATATCCCTGAGGCACTGGGTGAGGAGCACGCAGGCCGACACCACGCTCATGGCGCCCCCCAAAATGGCCGTCTGCACCGCTTTGCCCTCCGGGTTGATGGCGGCAGCTTTGCCCAAAAACTGAGGCTCGGTGGCAAAGCCCACCAGGGCGTAGACGGACTGCACTAGCGGCCCGCTGAACAAGACGCACCGGTTGCGCGCCAGTTCGCTCGGTGAGCTCTTGACCTCTTTGACGCAGGCCAGGAGGGCCGAGGCGCTGGTGCTCATGCACTTGACGCTGAGCTTGAACTGTTCCTTGGCAAACTTATCCTTAGACCTCTCGCTGGCCAGGATGCAGGCGTCCGTCAAGAACTTGAGATTCTTGGACATGTTTTGGGAAACCTCCAGCAGGAGCTGAGGGCTCATGTCGGCCAGCGGGGTGGTCTTCAGGACCCCACAGCCATGTTCCACCTCGTGTTTACACCGGGTCACCTTGTAACGATCCACCAACCCGGGCAAAGCCGGCTGAGCCCCCGGGATCTCCACGGCCGCCAGGTAGGCGGCGTGGGCCGAGCACTCAGTCAAGGAGACCACCAGCTCGCCCAGCTCCGCCAGGATCTCCCCGACTTCGGCGAAGCGGCCCATGTTCAGCTGGCTCTGGATGTCATGGGTCAGGATGGACAAGCCTTTGGTCCGGGCGATGAGGGTGTCTCGGCACTTCTCGAAGGACTCCCCGAAGGCGGAGAGGCTCTCGGTGTGGACCGGCCGGCTCTCGCTGGAGAGGAGGAGCAGATCGGCTACCAGCTGCATCTTGACCTTGCAGTGGTCACAGATGGCCACCAGCTTCTTCCGCTGCAACGCGTTGCCACTGGGGGTGGACACCTCGCTGGCCGATTTGCCGGAGCCGCCACTAGCCATCGCGCCTTGGGGGACTGCGCATGCCTGTGGGGACCCCGCCACCGTCGCCCGCGCCGCACCCGCTGCTCCGGCTACCTCCCGAGGAGTCTCTACTGAGCACAGCGAGAGCTCTCTGCTTTTTCCGCACCATCATTCCATAAATCCTCCACGAGTAACGATAAAGTCTTGGAGCACCGCAGGGAGAGAATGTCGCCGGGCGCGGGGGGGGGGGGCCCCCCACTAAACCAAGAAGGGCCGGCGGCGGGGGGGGGGGGGCCTCACACTAAACCAAGACTCTTCACGTCCCCACTTTCCCAGCGAGACAGCGTGATCCTAACGGGGCTGCCCCACCTCAGATCTCTCAGCCGGTGGACGGATACCACTTCTGTTGCTGGATCTTCCGAACGTCAACTCCTCGATTTCTCCGCATCGTCCTCAATTGAATCCTCTTGCCGGCTTCTTTTCCTTTCCCCCCCTCTCTGGAGAAAAGTCTGAAAAGAAAGCAAAATTGTGTTTTAGCTGTTGCAAGGAAGGAGGGGCAAAGCCATGCCCGAAAATTGCTGCCGCTGGCCTATTGGGAGAAGTGTCAGGGCAGCGACCCGAATTATATTCTGCCCTCTGCAAAAAAGGAAACAAAAAGCTGCGGCCGAAATGTCGGGAAGGACAGTGCATGTTGCCAAACAAATAAATAACGTCGCCCCCCAAAAAAAGTCTGTTCAAGGTGGGAAACTTTTTGGAAAGCCACCCAAACTAAGCCCTTCTCCTTTCCCAAAAGGGAAGAGGCCACGAGATTGCCAGGGCTGGGCTCGTTGGAAAAGCGGCCCCCCCCGCCTCCCAAGTGGGTTTTAACGGTTCCCAAAACAAAGCACCGCCGGCTTGGCTCCAAATTTAAACCTAAAGTTTCGGAGTCCAAGGGACGGGGAAGAAGCCGGGACCGGCCCTTGCTCCAGGGTCGCCGCCGCCTCCCTCCGTCCGGCAAGAGGGCAGCCGCCCCGGGAAGCATCTCTCTCGCTCTCTCTCTCCGGAGCAGGAAGCCTGCCGGCGGGTGTGGCCCGACGGCGCGCCGGAGGAAGAGGAAGGCGGCGCCTGGGGTTTGCGGGGATCGCTCCCGAAATCGCGTGTCTTGGGGGCACGTGTGGACGCAGCTCACCTCTTTCCCGCGGCTCCCCTCCTTCCTTCCTTCCTTCCTTGGTTCCTCCCTGGCCGCCCCGATCAGGGCGCCGCGCTCGGCGTCTCCCCTGCCTCCGCGGCCCGGGCGTGGGCCGGCATCCGAGCCGAGCGGCGCCTCCCTCCCTCCCTTGGCTCGCCCGCCGGGGGGGTGGTGGAAGCCTTCAAGCGCTGGGGGCGCGCCACGAGCAGGACGGCCCGGGGCTTTGGCAGCGGCGGTGGGGCTGCCGGCCGGCCCTTCTTCCCTCCTCGCCTCCTGCCATCTTCCTCTCGCCGGCTGGATCTCCGCGCCTGGGCAGGGCGCAAGAGGAGGAGGAGGAGGAGGAGGCAGGGAAGGGAAAAGGAAGGGAAGGCGGGCCGGCGGCGGCGGCGGCGGCTGGGCGAGCCCTCGCCCGCGATCGGGTCTCCTCCAACTTGGGCAGAGGGAGAGAAGAGAAACAGAAACTCCGAAGGCGCGCCGGGCGCCTTGGAACTGCGGGGGGGGGGAGACCGCCGCTACTGCAGGGCGAGGAGGAAGGGCGGGCCCCGACGGCACCGAGGCTGCTTGGGGGGCGTTCCCCGTCCCCTCCCTCCTCCCCCTCCCCTCCCTCCGGGGCCGCCCCCCTGCCCGGGCTGGCTGGCTGACACTCCCTTCCCTTTTCCCTTCTCCTCCCCGCCGCCGTCACGGCGCGCTCCGCCTCTGGTGCGCCCGCGGTTGGAGAGGCTGCCCTCTTCTCTCTCTCTCCCTCCCCCCGTGGGGATCGGGGCGCCCTAAGGCTCCTCCTCCTCCTCTCCGGGAAGACCAGGAAGGGGAAGGAGATGATGATGAGGATGGTGGGAACGCCGCCGGCCCCGAGGAGCGAGGCTTCGCCGCCGCGGGGCGAGGGCGCGCTTTACGCACAGATGCGCTCCGGCCGCTTGGCGCACGGCCGCCGGAGGGAACCCGAGATTTTTTTTAAAAAGGGTGGGGAGGTTATTTGGGGTTGGCTGGAGGAACCTCCTGCCTGGAATCGTGTGTTTGCTCTGCAAACAGGCCCGGGTGCAACCTCTGGAAAAAAGCAAATCCATTGAAAGAAAAGTTAGGGGGCAGGAAAAGCTGCCTTGTCACTTCCCGGTTCCTTTCCCCGGGGTCTGCTCCAGTTAGGAGCTAGGGGCTGCAATGAAGTCATCCTGACGTTACTCGCCTGATGGGGAGGGGAAGGGGGGGAATGCCTACTCTTACGGAAACGCAATCCGGACTGCAGGCAGCCCTCCGGAAAAGAGCTCTGCTCGAAATGTATCTAGAGCGCTGCCCCAGATGTTCAGATAAGAGATGGGAAGGCCTGGGGGGGAAAAAAACTGGAAAGATGTGTGTGTGTGTGTGTGTGTGTGTGTGCAGAGACAGCCCCTCCCCCGTTTTTTCCGCAAAGGTGCTTTCAGAAATTTTGCATCTGTTTTAAAAAAAAAGTTCATCTCAGGCTTGTGACGTTCTCCCTCTTCTTTGAATTACTGGTTCATTTTTTTAAATTTTATGTCCGATATCGTTTGCTTTGTGTTTCTCCCCAGCAACAAGCTCTCCAGCTATGCAGCAGCTTCCTGCTAGCTGAGATCTTTTTAAAGGGTAATATATAATATATATTCATCATTGTTAATCCTTTTTTTTGTTTGTTTGCTTCTTTGGGAGGGGATCATGTCTTGTGCCCTTCTGAACTTGGCGTGCCAAGGGCACCACCCTGTCCCTCAGCCATTTCTCTTGTGTATATTTTCTTGTATTTCATGCCTACACGGTTGTGGCCCTGCAGATGATTTTGGACTGCAACTCCCATGCGTCTTCGACTTATGTTATCAAGGCCTGCTGGGAATTGTAGGCTGAAGGCCTCTGGAGAGGCACAGTTGTCTATGTGGAGCCACTCTGATGTTTTGGACAGGGGTGACCCTTATCTCTCCTTATCCGCCGTCATCATCTGATAGTCACCAGATGTGGGTGCAGCCCCACAAGGGGTATGTGTGGGGCACAGGCTCAAGTGGCAGAATCTGTTTGGGATGGAGCAATTTTCCCACCCAGGAGAGTTTCCGTTGGATTGCACCCCATATCTACTGGTGGGCTGCGACATGAATCCAGGTCCAAGTCCCCACTGTGCCATAAGCACCCTGGGCGAGCTCAGTACACATATTTACTGTCCGCCAGCCCCACCTTGCAGGGATATTGCAAACATAATGTAGGGAGAAAGATGGGCTTATCAGTCACTGAAAATGGTAACCCAATAATCAATCCTGCTTGGTTTGTACACCTTGCAATTGTGCAAAACCATGACCTTCGGCCCTTTCCAGGGCCTAATGAATTTAGCATTAATTTGCATTTGTGGCCAGAAGAAAACGAAATGACAGCTTTTAATCTGGAGTGAAAACTGCGTTATATTTATTGCTTCTCATTAATGAAAAATATAAAATGTACAGTATGATGAACAATAAATGGCAGACCAGCTTCCACTCCAGGTTAAAATTATTCTGTAAAAGTGTTCTTTAAATATAAAACTGTTTTTTTTTAAAAAAATAGTTTTTGCGTGGCTCCTGGGTCGTAAATAAAACTTCTTTTTAAAAAGCGGCTCCCCCTCTCTTGTAAGCCGGAATGGTTCAGTCCATTCTCTCCCCACCCCCTTTGTCTTTTTGAGACCGGCCCACGACGCCTCGCTGCCCTCCGCCCTTCTCCCGCAGAGCTCCGACCTTTGGTTGTCGCGCCCGCCTCCTCCTAGTTTGTACCCGACCGGTTCTTACTGCGCCTGCGCTGTTGGAACGCAGCCGGCGGGCGGGGAGGCAGGCAGGGGGACCGGAAGAAAGGGGCCCCTTCCGGTCTGGCGGCAGCTTCCGGTCGCCGGGACAAGATGGCGGCGGCCTGGCGGTGGTTGGGCCTGCTCTCGGCCCTGAGCCTGCTGGCGGTGGTGGCAAAGGCCGCCGAGGAGGAGCCAGCGGCGGCCTCGGCCAAGGGGAGCCCCGCCAAGGACGCCCCCAAGAAGAAGAAGAAGAAAGACATCCGGGACTACAACGACGCGGACATGGCGAGGCTGCTGGAGCAGTGGGAGGTAGGAGGAGGAAGAGGGAGGAGGAGGAGGAAGAAGGGGAGGAAGAGGGGGAGGAGGAGGAAGAAGGGAGGAGGAAGAGGAAGGAGAGAAAGGGGGAGGAAGAATGAGAGAAAGGAGGGAGGAAGAAGGGGAGGAGGAGAAAGAGGGGGAGGAAGAGGAAGGGGAGGAGGAAGAAGAGAAAGGAGGGAGGAAGAGGAAGGAGGAAGAGGGGGAGGAGGAGGAAGAGGGGGAGGAAGAGGGGCTCCTTACCCCCACAAGCTTAGCATTTGGGAAGGTCTCCTCAAAGCCCCCTCCCAATTAACCAGTTCCCTTTGTCATTCCCCTCGTAATTATTGATTTATTATACTCATATTTCTATCCAGCAGCAGTTTAAAGCAGGGTGGATATGATTTAGTTTTACTATTTTGTTTTCATGCTCTGTTATAATAGTTATTTTAAATGTATTTTAGCTTTGTCTTTACGTACTGTTTTTTTAACATAGTATTTGCTTATTTACTCATAAGCGTGTCCAAACCCACTTAAAAGTTCAAACGTAGGCTGCAGAAAAAAGTGACACGTCGTAGAAATCCTCTCCCTAATAGCAATAACTTAAATGACTTACATTTTTAAAATATAAGTTTTTAAAATCCCAATTTTAAGGAAAATAAATCAAGTCGGCAAGCCTCTTTCTCAGCAGCAGCAGCAGCAGCCCATGGGGACCATCCCCTTCTAAGGGTAATTAGGCTGCCTTCACCTTTCTTTTTCTTTCTGGGGAGCAGCGAAAACTAATGTTCAGAAGGGCTTCTGATGGCTAGGAGAGTTTTTTTTTAACCTGCATAGTAAAAATGTTAGGAATGTTCCTCATTTGCTTTCTAAATGTTTTTAATTTTGTATTATTAATAATATAATATTTCTAAAGCATTTTAGAATAGTTCTGAAGTCTTTTAAACTATGTTGGGAGCCCTGTTAGAAAAAAAAGCCATGAAGAAGTGCCTTCAATAAATCAGTAATCCAGTTTCAATTGCCCATTTGTCTCAGTAATTTAACAGTTTAATGATTAACTTGTGAAATACCCCTTGAGGCTCCATCTGAGCTCAAAGTGACCTGCTCACCTGGTTAATCTCTTTTCCAACTCTCTACGTAGTCCCTTTTCTGGCTATCCTTAAGGCCAAAACAGAAGAGCCAACCTGATTCAATTGTTAAACAATGATGCAGTTTATTTTATGAAGTGTAATGGCTACGTGGCACAGTTCTTGGTCATGCAGTTTTTTGGGCTTTGAAGAAGCAACTTGCTAACTATAACATATTCCTTCTTAACAGCACAACTAAGATGGACAGTTCTCTTGTTGAAACACACACTATGATGTTGGTAGATTATGGGTCCACCTCCCTTCAGCCCTCTCTGACTGTGAACTATCCACCTGACTCCTTTAATGGCTACGTGGCACAGTTCTTGGTCATGCAGTTTTTTGGGCTTTGAAGAAGCAACTTGCTAACTATAACATATTCCTTCTTAACAGCACAACTAAGATGGACAGTTCTCTTGTTGAAACACACACTATGATGTTGGTAGATTATGGGTCCACCTCCCTTCAGCCCTCTCTGACTGTGAACTATCCACCTGACTCCTTTTTACTTCCCTTGAAGCCACTTGATGGGTCGTGATTAACTCTGCTCTGGCCAGTCAGATTCTCCTTGCAGACGCTGCCCATCACACACCTCCTCTCTACTTTATTCCTTCTTCGCTAGTTCTTTTATGGGTCCCCCTCCCTTCAGCCCTCTCTGACTGTGAACTATCCACCTGACTCCTTTTTACAGTTGTGCCCCGCTGGACGATTACCCCGTTTAATGACAAATCGGCTTAACGGCAAAGTTTTTGCGATTGCAAAACGGTGTTTAGATTGTTTTTTTTTTTAATGACGATCGGTTCCCTGTTTTGGGAACCGATTTTTCGCTTTACGATGATCAGCAAACAGCTGATCGTCAGGTTTCAAAATGGCCGCCGGCTTTCAAAATGGCCCCCCTATGTTTTCTAGGATGGTGCAATCACTAAGCGAGGCACCACTGTATTCTTTCTTAACAGCATAACTAAGATGGACAGTTTTCTTGTGGAAACCCACACTATGATGTTGGTAGACTATGGGTCCACCTCCCTTCAGTTCTCTCTGACTGTGAACTGCCCACCTGACTCCTTTTTACTTCCCTTGAAGCCACTTGATGGGTCGTGATTAACTCTGCTCTGGCCAGTCAGATTCTCCTTGCAGACGCCTGAACGGTTTTCAATGCATTTCAATGGTTTTTAAAATTTCGCTTGATGATGTTTTTGCTCTACAGCGATTTCGCTGGAATGAATTAACCTCATCAAGTGAGGCACCACTATATTTCCCTTGAAGCCACCTGACGGGTTGTGATTAGCTCTGCTCCGACCAAACAGATTCTCCTTGCAGACACTGCCCATCACACACCTCCTCTCTACTTTATTCCTTCTTCGCTAGTTCTTTGAGTTAGATCAAACGAAGAGAGTTCGTTCAGAGCCCTGTTTTTCCCAGTCAGCGGTATAGATCACCTAAAGCCAAGCACTGCATGACAAGGGGGTCTCCGTTCCAAAGAATGTAGGTGGAGGGACTCACAGAGAAGCTCAACGGACTCCTCTCCAGTTGAATTGAACGCTAGGATCACAAAAGAATTCTGATGGAAAAAACAGTCTCAGAGCATGTGTAGATTGCCTTTGTCTCTGCCACTGCAGAGTGTGATTCCCATCATTAGAAAAGAACCAAGATTGCAAGTTTTATTGTTATAATAGCAATAATTAAAATAATATTTTTATACTGATTTTGCAAGGAAGTCCCCTCCTCGGAAATGTGCCAAGTAAAACTTTTAAGTCCATAGCATAAAATGCAGTTAGATTAAGGCTGCATTTAATAGTAAATCAGCATCAGCGACTTAAAAAATGCAGCAAGAGAACATGACGAAATGGCATGTCATGGAAGTCAGAACCTTAACAGGAGTATTTTATTGGGAAATGCTGACCTTCTGACGTGTGAAATGAAAGTTGAGTGGTTTTTCAAGTTTGGGGTAGTTATGTTGCCTGTCTGGAATAAGTGGATAACTTGTGTGGGAGACCTGGATTTAAAATTTCCCCCAGTAGCTGATGGAGCCTACCAAAAGGAGTATTAGACACTGCTCTTTTTGCTTTCTCTGTCTATACAGTATTTTGCCTTCTCAAATTACGTTTTGTTTTGTGCAAATCTGTAACAATTTTTTTGCAATGTTTTGCTGTTTTCCTGACAGGTGTTTAGCTTTCTATAATTTTGTTTTGTCTGTTTGGATACTGTGTATAAAGGAAGCATGCTTACTTAGAGGTTTAGAATTCTGTTTGGATTGTCCTTAAGATTGATGGAGTTTTTTTCTGGGGGGGGTTTAATTGTTCAGTATCTCACAAATATCAAAACTGATGTAATAAGATTCCACTTGGCTGTACTTATTGCTCTTCTGATGGCTTAATCTTTCAGTAGCTAAAGCTTCCAGACCACCATATGCAAAACACGGCAGCAATCCAGCCGGGAGCCTCTGTTTATTTTCCTGCATCCGTATGTTTCTTGATCTCAGATACTTAATTCTAGACTTCTGTCACTTTCTTGGAATCCAGTCGAAAAAGAGAGAGCATTTGTTAACATTGCTTTTTAAACTTCTATATGCAGATATCATAAATATATAAAATCAATTTGCCTTACTAGATTTCCCTGACCCACTGACACTGTTGTTGGGAGACGGCATTGCCATTTCTTGTGGTCCAAGGCATTCTTACGCACCGCATGTTTGTGTTTATTTCCGAAACAGAAAGATGATGATATAGAGGAAGGCGATCTTCCAGAGCACAAGCGCCCATCTGCGCCCATCGATTTCTCCAAAATCGACCCAAGCAAGCCTGAGAGCATCTTACAGATGACGAAGAAGGGGAAAACTCTGATGATGTTTGTCACTGTGTCGGGAGAACCAACCGAAAAGGAGACAGAAGAGATCACCAACTTGTGGCAGGGAAGCCTTTTCAATGCCAACTATGATGTCCAGAGGTAAATGCCTTCTCTGTGGAGCCAGAAAGTTGTCAGGTTTAATAAAAAATAACTGACTGGAAGTTACTGCCTTTTGTTAGAAGAACATAGAATAGGATTTTTAAAGCGTTGCTCTGTGCTGCTCTCGTGGTCAGAGAGTTAATTGTATGGTACTTGAAAGGCTAACAGGTTTACTCCAACATGAATGTTCATGGATTATCACCCATTTTATCAAGTATTTCAAGTGTGACATTGGAGTTCCAGTATTCAGTTTAGTTTGGAATGGTATTGTTGAGGCCCTGGCCAGGATTAAATGCAGGAAGTGCAGATGGAAATCATTTCATACTTCGTAACAGCTGTCCACAAAACCACTGCTATTCAGAACTAGATAGCCACATCTAAAGGAATAACTCAGTAAAAGTAAATGTTAGTGACCCTATATCTCCTTACAATTGAATGCTAACCAGGTTGGTGTGATTCAGTTTCAGTTTAATATGGAAAATAATAAATGTGCAGTTTTGGGATAAATTAACAAGTTTGCATTTTACTTAGAAATACCACCTGCACCTGTGAAGGATTTCAAGGCAGTGACTTAATCCTATGATAATAATGATAATCTACTCTTGAATAATGCTTTCAACATTTGTCAGCTGAGATATCTTTTAGGACTGAAATCAAAATTCTGGCCCATCTCATGCTGCATAAGAAAGTTGGGTTTCTTTTCTAATTTGTCAGGTTTTGCCTTTTTTTAAAAACCCAATCTTTGGATAGATAATAATAGATTCTCCTTCTAAAGTAGATAAAAAGTGCTGCCATGTAGAAATTGTTTTTCATGCTATGATGAGTTCTGAAATGGATGTCACTTTCTTCTGGAAAAAAATATGTGGCTATATCACCTAATACTTTGGGTTCTCTGCTCTATTTTGGCTGTTACTTATCTGAAAGATTAGGTGGAATTCCTGGAGAAGTTAACACTCTAAATAAATGCTTTTCTAAAAAAATGCAGGTTTATTGTTGGCTCGAACCGTGCCATCTTTATGTTGCGTGACGGCAGCTACGCCTGGGAGATCAAAGACTTTCTGATAAATCAAGAGAGGTGTGCAGATGTAACGGTGGAAGGCCAGATGTATCCTGGGAAAGGGGCCAAGGAAAAAGAAAAAGATAAAAATAAGACAAAGCCTGAAAAATCAAAGAAGAAAAAGGAAACAGACAAGAAACCTGAAACCGTGAAAGAAAATCGTGCCAGCAAAGTGAAAGAAGATCTATGATGTACTCTGTAAGGAAAAAAGTGAGTGGGCAGGTGGCAGGTTTCAGAAACAGGAACAGCCTTCTGAGTTTGAAAGTTGTGATGACCAAGGGAACAGTTTACACAATTAATAAGAAGCATTTCTTTAGTAACAATGAAGTTAATGGTTAACATCTGTAGAATGCCTGTTAGGTTGTGCTTTGCTTGATTTGATCTGGTTTTAAGTCTAAAACAGGCACCTGCTGTGTTGAACTTCAGTATTATGGACTTTGCTCATTCAGAGGGGAAGAAAAACGTTTTTCCATTGAAGGTACCGTTACAGCTGTTTTGGGGGTCATCCGTCAAGATGGTCAATGGACCAGCTGCGAAGCAGTAAGCGTTGAAGGTACCGTTACAGCTGTTTTGGGGGGTCATCCGTCAAGATGGTCCATGGACCAGCTGCGAAGCAGTAAGCCCTTTCTTTCTAGCCGTTTCTCATTGTCCGATGTTATGTTGAATGAAGTAAGCAATGCATTTGAGGAGTTCTATGCTCTCGAAGCCAGACCACCTTGGAATGATGGTACTGAAGCAGACAGTACCGGAATGGATTTCTTGAAGCAGAATTTTGAGACAAAAAAAGGAGCTTTGTCTGTTCAATGGTTGAAAATGACCTGCTCTCTTTTCTAAAGGGGAAACAGTTATTTCCACCGAATTAACATAGTTAGAGCTTCTACAGGCTGGCGGTCCAGGTCTCTTACCCTGTTATTCTTGCATGAGGTGTTTGAATGAAATGGAACAAGGAGCTTGATGTAAACGGAATAGTGAAAGATACAATTTTCTCAGAAACCAATAGCAAGTATGTGTAAAGTCTTATTTCCTAAGATAGACACTCTTCTTGCTGTCACAGCTATTTGAGTGCCTAGCTTAGAGTTTGAGTCACTTCCTCCAAGTTTGTTAACCCCTATCAATATAGCCTTAGATCAGTTGCCTGGTTCATGTTAGTGATCACAGCGTTGCGTGAGGCTACACATGATTTTCAGTGTAACTTGAATTCTTACAGTGCCAAAACCTTGATGTCTGATTTGAGACAGTGAAGACTAGTTTGATTGTGTTTTGGTTTTTTGAAAGGATTCCTTTGTTCTGTTGGTACTGTTGTTCTGTTGAATTTTCTCCCCAGAATGTCAATAAATTTGTACACTTTTTCAAAACAGCTATTTGGGATGTAGAATTGGCAACTACCGCACTGTAATGTATGACCTGTGGTCAGCTCAAAAGTAGCCACGTAGTGGCTCCTTTAAGTGCTAAATTCGAATGCAAAAGTATGCTCCGTGCTTCTCCCAGTTCTCACTTCAGAAACCAGAGGCCAGAACAAACTGTGAGCATCCTCTCCTGCCACCCAACGTGGTCCAAGGACTTTTTAAGGAGAAACAAAGGTTTGTGCTTCATTCTTGTGTAAGAATACTGGCCAGAATCCTGTTGGGATTTTAATGCATGGGAGGCATCATATAGGTTGCATGATCAACTAACAGGGTGCTGGTAAGCATCTCATCAGTTGTCTGTAATTAACTGCAACAACCTGTGTGTTTCTTCTTTTGTATGCATAAAAGCCCAATAGAACTTCAGCTGCTGTTTAATGAACAGAAGAGAACTTGGCAAGTTATGTCCGAGTGAGGAGATAACTATAAAAGTAATGAGCCACAGATGTTTATTTATCCCTCTGTTCCACCCCCTTTTTTTAACCTTGTTGGGCAAGGACATTGTGTTAAAAGTTCTCCTCTGTTCTCCTGTGCTGGACTCACAAGAAGAGGGGAATGCTGGGAATCAAGGTTGCACGTTGGTTATTATTCTTATTTTCAAAAGGATTTGTCATAAACAAAGAGTGATGCCTTCTAAAGATGTCAAGAGTTTCTTCCACGTGCCCAAAGCTTCTGTCTTTTGTTTCTTTGTTTTGTTTGGTGCCGATTTTAGCAATTTCCAAGTAAGCTCTACATGGTGTGGATGGGTGAGTGGCGTAAATGTCTTGTATCCTTGGTAAGTTCAGCAAAGCAGTTCTCATCGTACTGACCGAAGCTGAATTTACAGCTGTGCTTTGAAATGCTTTCATGTCCAGTGATACGCCACTAGAGGGTACACTAGCATCGTTGAGGATGCTCAGAGTTAGCTGTACTGCCTTCTTCCAGATGGAGTCAGGCCAGGTTGGGTTACATCTTCCACCCTGCCCCACCCAGCCATCACGAGGCAAGGTGCCTAAGGAGGAGCGGAGCGATAGTCCATGGTAGCCGAATGTCAAAAGCTGTTTGGGTTTCTGCTCCTGAAATGCCTGCAGGAACCTATTTTATTTGCCTTCTCTGCAACCAAGGTAGACACTTAACTTTTAATTGCCTTGTCTTTCCCTAAAGGTTTATTTTTTGAGGCATCTCAACAGGGAGGGTGAATATAGTTGTGCTTTTAAGTACTTACGAGTTAAACTTAACCTGTTGAAGATGTTAAACGTTCATGGCTTAGTGCATACTAAAGAAGCAGTGATGGTGAATCAAGGCTGAGCTGGTCTCTGTTGTATCCCTGCTCTTTAATCACTTAGGCCCACGCTTCAGGATGGCTTACGTGTTTGTCCTGGAAGGCACACAGGTTCCCTGTCTTCTCCACGTTGTATGCGGTGCTGTTGATACCAAGCCAAACTCTAATTCTCCATTATCCTGGCAGGATAAACTCTCACGCTTGCCTGATTCTAAGGCAGGAGTGAAGAACTGCATAGCCCACAGTGGGGGGGAGTTTCAGTTCAATAACCATTGCAGGGCCACGCTTTCCCTTAACCTTTTTTCTAAAGGTTGGTTTCTGTCCACAAACCAATCTCTGTAGAGAGAAGCAAGACTGATTTACTGCTAACGGTATGGATAGGATGTATAAAGTATACATATTGTCTGTAACTACAAGTAGAGGAATGTATATGTGAACCTAGAGCTGTCGTCCAAGATTAATTTTTGAATTTTGAATTTTTGAATTAATTTTGTAGGTATTTTGAAAATGCAGCTGCTGACCGCCCGGTGTGTCTGGAGAGCAAATATGTGCTTAGTGCTGTATTTTTCCATTGTAACTAAGTACTGTATACAGATTTTTTTTTCCTGGTCAGAAAAGTAAAATCAATTGGAAGGATGCTTCCTGGACCGGGCCATTCTGGAGTGAGACAAAATGCTTTCGTTTTTTAAAGAGGTGATAAGAAGTTGAGGGGTGCAGTCCGGAGACTCACTTAAATCAGTGGTTCCCAACCTTGGGACCCCAGAGGTTCCTGGACTAAAACACCCCGAAGTCTTTGTCACTGGGGGTGGAGGGTGGGGTTGCTGGCCAGAATTTCTGGGAGTTATAGTCCAAGAACATCTGGGAACCTAAGGTCGAGAACCACTGCAAATAAATGCCTAGGAGTAGCTTTCTGCATTCTCAAGTATATTAATGTACCCATTCTGCTTTGAGCATGTGCATTCTCAAGTATATTAATGTACCCATTCTGCTTTGAGCACGTGTTTGTTGTAGTCATGTCCTTGGTTTGTTGTGTGTTAAATTTTAATGAATATCTGGAGTGGAGATCCTTCCTAGCCACTCCTCTGCTCGTTTTCACAGATCCGGGAGAGCCCCTTCAGAGTTTCTCATCTCTGCATATCTTAAGGAGTGAGGAAGGTGTGTTTCCTTCCCTTTTACACTATGATTGCGATCACCCTGTGGCCAGTGTACTGCAGCTCTTGTATAAATTTGTTATCATTATGTGACGTCAATGTGGAACTGACGTATAGTGACCCTAACACAACCTTCAAGGAAAATGAGCTATGGAAGGAGTGTCTTCACCACTTCCTCTCCCCCAGTGGGTTTCCATGGTCAAGCAAGGATCCAAACCCTGGTTTCCAGTGTCCTGGTCTGTCACTTTATTCATGGCAGCACATTTTTTGTTGAAATACCGGGGTTGCATTTAAGATCAGCCCATGTTTTGAAAACACTTGGATTGTACAGGCGTAGAAATGAACCCACAGTGTGGCGTTCTTGCCCCAGTGGTGACTTCGCTTTATCCTGTTTTCACTCTGATCTATGTTGAAATTTATGGTCTGTGTAGCAGACCACACAGGCCACTGTCGGGGGGCCATTACTGTCGGAATGGATCCATACAAGCAGCCCCCGAAGGCAGTAACAGGACAAAGTCTGTGCTCAACAGTTCAGCTTGAGAAAGTAATCAAGACACAGAACCACCTATATACAAGGGTTGTACAGTTGCACTAAAAATTTATTCCAGTAACGGGTGTATTCCAAATAAGTAAATATTAAGTGGTAAAGGAAGAACTTTTGGAAGTAGCTTTGCAAGTCTCTAAAATTATATAAAAAAAAACAGGCTGTCAAGAGGATTCCACTTTCTGTGGTCTTTAAAACGCCCCAAGTCTTTGAGGACACGTATTTTCTTGGTCCGTGCTCTGCCCCCCCAAAGGAAACCTCATAACGTCTGTCCTCTCTTCAGATTTAATCCTTTTAGTGCCTTTGCAATAAATTAATAGAAAATATATCTTTTTTGGGGGGGGCAGGGGGAGGTCAGGAAAGTTTAAGAAAATGTACAAAACACTATACATCTAGTTCCGAAAAAGGACCAGCTATTTCGGGTAAAAAATTTTTTGACCTGACACATGCACAGGAAGCAAACACGGGGTCATGGAATATTAACACTCGAGAGGGGCGAAAAATGCTATAAGACTGCTTTTAAAAAGCAGTGTTTCACAGGTTGCTTACTGTCAGTTATTACAAAAGAACATAGAAATGTCTCTCAGTCATTCCATTCATTTTTGCGGCCACACATTATGAACAATTAGATGGCATAAGTTCCTTATATCTCTTTTCTTAAAGAGAGAGGAAAATCCCTGGTTGACGGGTTCTGGAATTCTGCTTGCTGATCCGTTTAGGCACTTGCAAACAGGGTGCACTGAATTGTATTCAGATTTAGCTGTACTTGAGAAGACTCGCTGAGCCTTTAACCTGCAGAAATCCAGGACCCAAAGTTAAGCTAAACATCCCAGAATCCAGCTCCAGCTCACAGTGGGGTACTCCTGTAAGAGCTGATTTTACTAACAGGCTACGGCTACTTCTTCAAGAGCTGGCGACACAGTTTGGTGCTTAGAATCCAACCAAGCAGGATTTTCCTTTCAGCAAAATATCCTCATATTTTGCTGAAAGGAAAATCACTTTAGAACTGCAGAGCTGGAAGGGACGCCATGGCTCACGGAGTCCGGCCTCTGTCAAGGAGGCACATCATGGGGGAATCGAGTTCCTGACCTTTGGCTTTACAGCCAGAGACCTTTGGCTCTCCGTTGTGATGGCTTAAGAAGGCTGCTCCTGCCCCACAAAGGCAGGGTGTGATGGTCCGTGAAGGTGTTGCAAAAAACAGCTCTGTGCATAAGGAAGAAATGACCATTTCAGTAAGACCCCCAATCATCTTACCACATTTGACAGCAGTTTGGTGGGTCCTGTGGCGTGTTTGGCTGAGACAACACAATGGCACAACAAAGCTGATGGCATCTTCTTCTCTGGCTGGCTACCAACCCTTTGGCTGGTCCAGCACGCCAGAAAAAAAGAATTGCAGAAGGATCGTCAGGCGTGACGGCTTTCTGCCGGCCATCTAAGACAGATTCTGTTGCTTATTCTCTCCTCCCGTTCATGTAGCCAAAAACTCCACTGGGAAGTGCACCTTTTTTTCCTGAGTAGATGATTAAAACATTCAAAACAAGCACTGGAAGGCGGATCACGGAGAAGTTAGCATGTTGTATGTGTCCTATGAATTCACTACCTGAGACAACATTGGAAAAGTGTGAGGGAGGCCATTGTATGACACGAGGGACAACAGAGGCAGGCCTGAGGGCAAAATCTCTTGCACCAGCATCGGCCGCATTGGGCCGACAAATGGTCCAGGTTGGCCACAAACCGGAAAACAAGCTCCGAAGTGTCCAAAGAGCCACCTCCGGTTTGTATTTTCCCAGTTTTGGTGGGTCCCCCCTTCTCCCACCTACCTTTCCTAAAGCCAGAAAAACACCCACCACTCAAGGGGAAAGGACCTTTGGTTTTTACCAAAGGGAATGTTTGCAGTAGGGCGAGCAAATGCCCTTCGCAGCCTGTGATGCTGATGCACCGTGATGTGAAAGTAAACCTTTCTTGTCCCAGACGCGCTTGTAGGAAGGAGAACGACAGACTACCAGACCGCTGATCAACACACACACACTGGCTAAGGAATGCCGGCTGGCGAATGAACACCTCATTCGTTCTCAATAAGACTTCTGTTATATACATCCACAAAATATATACATCCTGGGAAAGCCGTGGGCATTGTTAACAGTTCCGGGTTGCCTGTCTCTCCGTTGGGGATGTGCTGAGGGCGGACAGACAACGCAGGCTGCTTCCTCACAATTTCATTTTCTTTACCACGGGAACTGGCAGAGCCTGGAATATCCTTACTGCATCGTCATCTGTTTTCAGCGTTACCCAGGTTGGCTGAAAGCTGCCCTTGTATCCGACAAAAGCCATTTTATCTGGAAGAAAAAAAATCCACTACCATGAGAGAGCCGCTCTTGATCTCTATAGATGGCTTTGTTCGTAGCAGTAATTCTTGCAAAAGCCATTTTATCTGGAAGAAAAAAAAATCCACTACCATGAGAGAGCTGCTCTTGACCTTTGTTTGTAGCAGTAATTCTTGACTTCTTGTGTGTGTTAAGCAAGGGATTTGCTGTTTAAAGCTAGTAGTGGAAAATTTAATCTTAAAGACTGCAAAATTGGAAGGGACCTTCTAGATCATCAAGTCCAACTTCTGGGCTCGGCAGGCCAGATGCCTTCAACCACAGAGCTATCCAGCCGTTCCAATGAAAGATTTGTGGCCGCTGTGAGCGGTAGCCGTCAAAAGCAACATGGGGATAAATGCGGTTTTGTGCTTCCGAGTTCAATTCTGTTTCATTTCCAGAAACTTCAAACCTGGTGTAAAAAATGCTACAATTGTTTCTTCATTTTTTTTTCATTTATAAAAATGAAAAGATGGAGAAAAATCACACTGCTTATCAAACCAAGGTGGCAGTAGCACCTTAGAGCCAAGATGGATAAGAAAGGTGATAACTTAAGACATAAATAGATACGCAGGATTCCTTCTGAACCTCGACAGGCTCTCCTAAATCATAGCGCCCCATTGCAAACCTAAGGGATTCTCCTGGAAAGCAGCCACTGGCAGTTAGAAAGTGATAGCAGGCTGGAGGAAAATAAGGCTCCTCGTGGTTTTTAAAGGATCTTGGAATAGTTATTACAATTTTAGTTACCTTTCAGTCTAAAGCCTGAGGGGGCGCCCAGTTTTTCCAAGACTTTAGTCCACAGGCCTTTGGAAAAATATCTTCCTTTAGACGTCATCACCACAATAGAACTGTGGGGCAGAGGGAGGAAAAAACACGTTTATGAACTGCAAAATGGATCAGCTGCTCTCTTTTATTGCAATGGAACAATGAAGGTCCTAGGAATATCACTGCAGATGGTGATAGCAGCCACGAAATTAAAAGCCCCCCCATGTGGATGGTAGAAACCATGGATAATTGCAAAAAATATTAATAGCACAGTCTCTCCCTCCCTCTAGTGGCCAGTTCTGGTAATTCTGTGTTTTTTTTCTTTTCCTTTTTAAAATATTTTCAGATCATGGATAAGTGCAACTGCGATTATGGGGTCCTGTAGTGCTTTCTCTGTTACAGCACATGGGCTGATGCTGCAGGACTTCCATCGACAATGTGCTTCTGCACAAGATCGGTCTTCTTCTTCCCGGCACCCTTTTATGTGCTGTTCGCTGTTTACTTACTTGTTCCGGATGTTGCCAACGTAGTTGTCTATCTGTGCTGGGATTCCTTGTAGAACAGAGTTTCTGAAACTCTTCCGGTCCACCATTTTGCCGTGATGCCCATCAACCACCACAACTTGGATGCCGTCTTCAGATAGATAAGACGTTTTGCCATCCACCTGGGATAGGAAGAGGGAGGCGGGAGAATCAAAAAGAAAACAAAAACTTCTTTACCGTTGGGAACCTTCCAAATCTGGATTTTTCAGAGTCAAGATGGTTTTTCCAGTGTAATTTAAAAAAGGCTGGAATCAAATATAGATTTTTTTTTAACAAAAGAAGAAAAAATGGAACATTCTAGTTTTTTACTCCTCTGCCGCCACCTTTTATAATTGTTGCTTTCTGCCATTATTCCATCCTCTCCTTAAAAAGGTGACCATGAAAAATAGCCATATTCTGTATGTACTATTTCCCACTCACCTATTTTCAATTTTCTGGAAACTAGACTTTAAAGTGAATACAATTTATACAATACCCCTAAAACCTGGGTGATGGACAGACAGTCCACCAAGCATTACAAATGTCCTCCGATACTGGGTAAGGCATATATTAAGAAATAGCATTTATATTCTGATCATAGGGCAACCATTTTATAATGCTGTGAATTCAAAGAAAGGCGATGTACTCCTTTTACTTCCAAATTGCAGCAAAATGGAAAACCTTAAATCCTCTTAAGGGTGGGTGATTAAAAGATAGAGAAGCCCTCCTGCTTATCAGTAACATGTCAATTTAAATGCGAGAGCTAATCCCAGATTTAATTCTGATACAGCCTGGTTTTAAATGTGCTTAATTTGGCTAACTTGGAAATATCTAAGGAAAAAATGCAGTGCAGATTCTCTTGAATAGTACATTTACTTGACCATAAGATGCATATTTTCAGTGAGATATTTTTATCCCTGCAAAAAAGCAGAATGCAGTTATATACATATGTATGTGTGTGTGTAATTGCTCCTTGTAATTCTCATGGCAAGTCTTTGTATTTTTCTATACTGCTTCCGAATTTTGTATACTGATTTTCTAAATGGTTCCTAATGCAGAAGGGAGGGTGTTCTTAAATTATCCTCATATATTTTACATAAAATGAAGAGTAATTTTTTTAAAAAAATCTGCAGACCATCTTGAACGAATGCTTACTGAGATATATGCAAAGTCATCCTTGAGGTGGAAGTATCTGGTCTTGTAGCTGTCCACTTTCAGTTCGACAAAATGGTCCCGGTTCTGTTTGAAAAAGAAAAGAAGGTTACTGTTTGTCTCTTTCCCCCGAAGCGCTTCTAATGAAATAACAGGCAGGACCTCAGGGTTCTACTGAACTGGGGTTCAAAGCCCCCAAACACCCTGTGGATCCTGAAAAATTCAGATAATAATGAATAATAACCTACGCAGTAAATAGCATGGTCTCTAGCTCCCTCTAGTGACCCTGCCTGGTAATTACATTATGGAAATACATATTTCTGTGTCGTTTTTAAAATATTTTCAGACTGTGGATAAGTGGAACTGAATACTGGTCCTATGCATACAGGGTACCTGATGTGTTCTAAAGACAGCTTTGGGAAGTTGGTTTATTTTCCCCTTCTGGTCTGGACAGGTTGCCCAAGGCTGGCTCTTCTTCCCCAGAGGCACAGCAGGGGAATTGAACTCCCAGCCGCTGGCTCTGCAGCCAGAGACACTAAACTATCCAGCCCGCCTTGATGTCGAGTTTATTGAACACATAAGTGATCGTGCTCAGTTTTGCAAAGTTACTTTAAAAGCCAAAAAAACAACAACTCCCAAAATTCACGCAGCGAAGCTAGCCCGTGTAGGCAGTTCAACAGACAACTTTTCCAAGCTTTCCTGCATCATCTTAAGCTTTCTCTCCTGCCCATTAAGGAAGATTCGACTAAAGCAGATTCAATCCCAGCCTCTCAGCTCTCTTTTTTTGCTAGAACAGCATGAACCCGTTTTAGCGACCCATGACGTGCAGCAAGTCAATCAGCAGCCCTTACCGTGTGTGTGCTGGGTAGCTTTTGGGGCATCGGCACATCCACGGAAGGTTTCTCGGCGTATTTTGGGTAAGCTTTGGTTTCGCAGTCGCTGGGCCCGGGGCTCCTGGGGATGTTGGCTTTGATCCGGATGCGCTCGCAGCCTCGGACGGAGCAGAAGGCGAACGGCTCTTTCTCGTGCTGAGCTTTTAGCTTGAGGAACAAGAGGCTGCAGAGAAGAAAGAACCAACAAGCGATGGGTTATGGACCGGTTCTTCCCAGAAACTAGAAAAGGCCATGCTGACTGGTGGCGGGGGATATTTTGGGTGTTATTCCCAAGAAGAAGTGGGAGCTTTAAAGAGGCAAAACCATCCGGTTCTTGTTGATGGTTGATGCTGCTGCCCTTCACCCTGTGCAGACGGGTCTCCTCCACGGGATCCCATAGCTTTTGTGAGTTTGGGTGCAGTGCATCCTGACATCCTGCCTGATGGGAGGGCAGTCTTCCTTTCTCCTTAAACATACATTTTAGACCTGTTCGCTTTGTTGTTTTTCCTCTTTTTGTTTAGGTCCCAAAGGATGTTAACCCCTAGTGGGTTGACATTAAGAGGAAAGAAAGCCAAAGAATTAATTGCTTTAATTGTTGAAAGGATCATCAAAGAGTGCTGGAGAATTTTGAAATATAATAGCTCCCTCCCAATAGCCATGGGATTGATATTGGTGGTTTCACTTATCCACACTCTGAAAATACTAAAAGAAAAAAAAGCAGAAATACATATTTCCATGATGTAATTATCAGAGCTGGCCACTAGAGGAAGCCAAGGGCCATGCTCTATATGGGGTTCACTATTATCTGCAGTTTTCAGCATCCGCGGGAGTGCATGGAACTGATCCCCCATAGATACAGCGGTCCTACTGTGTGTGATCCTGAAAACATTGTTTGTACACTAACATTTTAAAAGGAAGTTAACAACACACACATTTTGTACCCACAACATTTCTGTTCACCCAGAGTTTTGAGTGTGGGACATTTTTGACGTTTCCTTACCCCGTGTCTTCATCCCAGAAGTAATGCCCTTTGGTAGGATAGCGATGTTCAAGCTTATCCATCTGAGCAGCTGGGTAGAAAGTGCCAGTTTTGAATGTTTTCTTCAAAAGGCGATCGTGGATGTCAGCAAGAATGGAAAACGTCGTCCCTTTAGGATAACAAAGGCCAACGTGGATCCAATCATCTCTAAATTAGGAGGGGAGGGGGAAAAAACCGAGGGGGAGCCAAAATGCATTACAGAAGTAACATCAGTGCCATGATTCTGACTTCTTAAGAAAACGCTGGAAGCCAAGATAAATCAAGGAAAATTTAATTATTTCCCAACTGGCTAGCGCTTTAGGAACCGTTGTAGGCAGAGGCAATGCCGAAAGAATTTAAGTCTCCTATAGCAATGTAAACCAAGTCCCCAGAGGTGGGTCACCAGCCTCTGAGTCAAGGATTAATTCGGCCCACTTTGGCCTTTCAAATATTTATCTCCTGACTTCTTTTGCCTCTTTCTCCTAGGGGAGCGTGGCATGTTTAGGGGAGAAGATGCCGAAGTGTGCAGTTGTGTTTATTGAAAACATGATGTCAGATCTGGAAGAATGCGGCGGCTAATATAACATCCTTTTCTTTCTTTTTTAAAAAATGTATTTTTCAAACAGCTTGCAGCTACCTTCCCAGTTTGGAATGTTGCTTGAACGGGCCAGCTACTCACTTATTGAAATTAATGAGCCAGATCGCCAGTTCAGCAGGAGCGGTCCTGTCCCAATGAATCGTGTAACCTTTCCGCAGCGTGATCACCGGCTGGTATTGCTGGTAGTGGGTGCTTTTGCTCAGGGCCCCTTCCAGGTACAGAGGGTGCGTGTAGTAGTCGTTCTTTATGATTTTCATCCTTGGGTTGGCCGATTTGTAGGCTTGGATATACACCTGTTATAGGAAGAACACCCCCCAGGTCGCTAAGTGGCATCAGACGGTCGCTTAGCCCAGTGGTTCTCCAAGCGACTACATGGCGAGAAGACCTATCCATTACATTTACTTAAAGATCCCACCGTTCCTCTCCGTGAAGCCGAAGGTGGTGAATAGGGCTCTGCCTTTCCTCCAGATTTGATTTTACAACAATCCCGGTGAAGTCGGGTCAAGCCAAAAAGAATTGCGACAGATTTGGCCATTTCGAACACACATCTCTCAGAATCCAGCATTAACGGTCACTACACCGCCCGGGTTCTCTTTCTTAACCATCTTTCCTGCAAGGGGTTCAAGAGCTCTGCGGATAAGGATTTTAACCTAGTTCTCAGTCTTAGTCCAATGTTAGCTACTCCATATATACAGAAAATGAGAGTTTGCACTCACAAGAGAAGGGGAGAACGGGGAGGTCTGTGTCCAGGGTTTGCCACATATAATTCTAAGTGAGGACTGACATAACTAAATGCTGCAACATTAGAAGAAGGGGAAAATCCCCATACAATTCCATACTGTACAAGTTGCAGCTAAATGCAGAGATACGGAGGTGAAGAAAAGGAGGTGCTAGGACAGAAGTGTCTTTAAGGAGCTTCTAAATACATTTTAAGGACCTTTGCTGCTAAAACAGCCCTCTCTCCCGCCCTGCGCTATCCACCTTCCTTACCTGTGCGTAGCGCCCGCTGCAGATCGAACCCCTCCAGTCCGGGACGTCGATGCAGTCCGGATGCCGAATCAGCCAGTTATCCTCCTTGATAAGATATGAGCCAGGATATTCTGACACTGAGCCGTCGACGTCGTGGAATACGGATGTTTTATCCCCGTCCATATCCAGCCGGTTGAACCAGGGGCCTGGCTCGCCAAAGAAGACTCGGGAGGTGATCTAGAAAGGATCGGGAAAGACAGACTGGAACGTCCGTTTTGAACTGATGGTTTAGTAACTGGGAAGATCATCTCTCCCCTCTGTTATCACGACTCCCATAACTTTGACAACCTGTTTGGATAAGATAATGGATGCCTGGATAAGTAACCCAGTGGGCGTGCCACACAACCTTGCATTGAAAATAATACAGCTTGTGGGTTTTCCAAAGAAACTGCTTAGTCACTGTGGAATAGAGTACACAGTGCTTGTTCAGTCTGTTTTTGTCTCGGACTGAACACCTTTCAGGGGTTCACCTTCAAACGATTTTGGTACCAAAAGGAAAAATATCCATGCCTCTTGATCGACCATATTGTGCCTCCAAAGCAAATTATTCCCATTTCCGGATGTGCTCCTTCTCATATACTGTTTGCATGCTTTTATTGTGTGCTCTCCAGAGTTTGGGAAAGTTACTGTTTCAGACTGCAACTCCCCAAATCTTCTGGCCAATATGACAATTTCCAGGCTCTTTTCAAAACACCTCTTTTTTAAAATTCATTTTTTAAATCTCTCATAATTCATGTTGGGAGTAGCTTCAGAAGCCAAAGAGAAAAATCTTGCAAGCTGCCGTGAGGGGGTTTCATACCAAAAAAAAAGGCAAAAAAAAAAATTACTGGGCTACCACCTGTACTTAGGATGTACCCCAAATGGAAAGGTTAAGGGGCCAGCCAACCATAGCATTTTGGGCATCTTGTCACTCACTCCTGATTTGATGGGACAGCTGAGTCTTGTGAACAACGGAGGGCAGCTACCGGCTTACAAGATGGATAATGGAGTGTATTGCACACACATTGATCTAGCTATTTAGTTCCTATACACGGTCTGCTTTCTGAAGTGCCCGCTTCACTTTACCTAATGGTAGGGCTGACTTTAAAACCAATGAACAAAACTCCACCACCACATCCTGCTTCTAATTACAGTAGGGCCCCNNNNTCTGCAAGGAATCTGTTTCCGTCCCCCCCCCCCCGTGGATGCTGAAAACCAGATAATAGTGAACTCTATCCAGAGCATTGTCTCCGGCTCACTCTAGTGGCCAGTTCTGGTAATTGCATTGTGGAAATACGTATTTCTGGGATTTTTCTTTTAATATTTCCAGACGTCAGATAAATTAAACCGTGGACACCCATCTCTGTGTGTATCCTTTTGGAGGTCACAGCCCACTCTTGTGTGACCCCTAAAAGCTCATTGTGAAATAAATCATCTTAGTCCACAGTGCTTTCGGTTTGTGTTCGGTTGAAAACGTGGTTACTGCTCCCAAAAATGGGCACAGTGCCGCCCTTCCCCAAACTGGCTCAAAACCCATCCTGAGGGGCCGAACTCACTGGGACGTCTTCGAAAAATATGTTGCTGACGTTATTGTTGGGGCAACTCTGCCAGGTGTTGTTGAGGCGGAACGCCAGGGCGCTGGTATGGCGGCCGTCCAGCGCAGCAAATTTCCGGAAGGTGCAGTTCTGGACGTTGATCGGCCCGTCGTAAAACTGAATGCCTCGGATGGGGAAGTTCCTGAACAGCGATTTTTTAAAAGAAGAGAAAATGAACTTAAAAGACGCCTGGGGTCCCAACGAATTTATTGCAAAGCATAAATGAAGAACACTGTTTTTTTTTCCTGCTCTTTATTTTTAAAAAAAAAATTGCAAAAAGAAAATAAAAAGAAGCACAAAATACAATACAAAACATTGCATCAGCTAAAATTAAACCACGTTGCTCCTATCTGCATTTTTCCACTTTCCCCCTTGGATACGCTTTCCCTTTCTGAAAGACCTATTCTAGAAATAGATCCCATATTATCTTAAAAGCATTAGTTTTTGATACTCCCCTTTTAATTTTCATTTCATTTCTCAATTTATCACTCATGGCCACCTTCCACACTTCTCTATACCATTCCTCGCGATTAATTTGGTTATCACATTTCCAGTAATGACGAATATCGTTGAAGACTAAAAAGCTTTAGTTTGGAACGGGGTCCACAGACCGCTTGTCAGCAAACAGCTTGAAAAAGTTCCTTTTTAAGGCTACACTGGGCTAATTTATACTAGCATGACGCATGGATCCTATTGGTGACCATTGGTTAATGTCCATCGGGAGTGTAAATTTTAATAATGATCCAGGTGTCACTATAGACAACCTTTCTGATATTCTGAAGGAATGGGAAGGTAATATACAATTTAATGTGCAATATATATATATATATATAAGCACCAACAAGCTGCCCTGAACGTTGTGGAAAATCTGTGTGTGCTGCATTCAGAGGGCTTCACCCTCGAGTTGAGTTGAACCAATTAATCAAGTGTAGTGTAAGTTGATTAACCAGTTAATCAACACTGATCAAAGTATGCTGCTCTTTTTAAAGTATTTTATGTCCCACGGGAGGGCATCTGTCAAACGGCAACTAGTACAAAATGCAGCCGCCAGATGATGCCTCGGGACTGGGCCAATGGAAGACCTCTCACCTGGCAGAATGCACGGAGGCGTAATCTGAACTCTGCTCAAAGTGTTGGTTCTAACCATAAAGTCTCTTAAATTGTTCAGGAACAAGTTACTGTAAGAAACCCCGCCGCCATCTCTAGCTCCTGTTGGCCTCGTTATTGCCAACATCTTCAGAGGATCTTCTTTGGGTCTCCCTTGCCATCAGAAGCACCAGGGTAAAGGCCTTCCCATCCACCCCTCTGTTTCAGCATCATCCGTATGCCTTGGGTGTTGGCCGACATTTAAGGCAGCCACTTCCACCTTTGCCAAACGGGAAGAAAAACAAGAGATGCAAACTAAGCAAAACTCACTGGCCGATGGGAAGGGTCCTTCCGCTGTGATCCAGGCCTCCGGGACCCCAGATGTCATTGTCCATTGTTTCGGTCCCCGTGTTCCCACTTTCACCCACAAAGAGGCTATTCTTTATTTCCTGTTTCGACCCATCGTCGTGCGGGAAGGTGCCTCCGCTGGAAGAGAACCGGTTGAACATGAGTGCAGTTGCCCAGGGATCAAATCCTGCTTTCAAAACCAGTCTGCACCCCTTATTGGATTGTTCCCTCCCTGGACAAGTTCAGATGACTTTCATAGGGGCAGGGCTGGCCCCCTCTCTTCTCTGGGGTCACTTCCTGCAGACCGGAAACAAGGAGGCTGCAGGGAGGATGGATCCTGCTCACATCTAGAACCTTCACGCAATCCGGAACCCTGGGAAAAATCTGGGTTCCTGTTTGCATTTAGAACCGACACGCAAGCAGAAATATCTCCTCGCCTTGCATCAGAAAACCGGTTGGCAATACTAGATAAAGTAGTGATTAAAGAGATTTTGAAGTAAAAGCTCTCTGATGAGACTAAGCAGATGCTCCTTCAGTGGCTAAATAGTGGAATTTGCTACCATAAGATGTTCTGATGGATGCCAACTGGAAGGAGGACTAGACGAAATCCCGGAGGATCCAGTTATTCCTACCTACCAGTCTGGGTGGCTGTAAGTCCCTCCCACCCCTCAGGACTAGAACCATATTACAGTGGTGCCCTGTTAATCCGTTTAATGCGTTCCTATGGGGACAAAACTCACCGCTAAGCGGGAATCCTCAATTCGGCCGCCATCTTCGCCGGAGGATCCAGTTATTCCTACCTACCAGTCTGGGTGGCCGTATGTCCCTCCCACCCCTCAGGACTAGAACCATATTACTTGATGGGGGATGTGAAAAGGAGAGCCCCCTTGCACCCGTGTCTAGAATGCGTTCCTATGGGGACAAAACTCACCGCTAAGCGGGAATCCTCAATTCGGCCGCCATTTTCGCCACCTCGGTAAGTGAGGAATCGGTGCGAAAACGCTGCGGGTGGTGATTTTCTTCTTCTGGCGGCCATTTTGGAACCGCCGATTAGCTGTTCCAAAACATCGCAATGCAAAGATCGGTAAGCGAAACGCTTACCAATCATCGTAATGTGATGTTTACCCTATTCAGAACATCGCAATGCGATCGCATTAGCGATCCCAAAAAACATGTCACTATGTGGATTCGTTGTTAAACGGTGCACTCATTAAGCGAGGCACCACTGTACTTGATGGGGGATGTGAAAAGGAGAGTGCCCTTGCACCCGTGTCTAGCTTGTGAGCTTCCCAACAGATATCTGGTCGACCCGGTTGTCAAGAGAGGGCTGGCCTAGGGTATCTCTCTGGTCCGATCCAACACGATTCATGTTGCGTTCCTATAAAATGGAAGCCCAGAGCACTCACCTGGCCAAAGTGAGACCAATGCCATTGTCAGCAAACCTGTAAGGAAAAAAAATCAGAGTTCATTCGAGCACCAAACACATCGGTCTCGAGTTCAAGTCTGCATTGTCTCGCCCAATTTCTTTGTGTTTGATTCCCATCTTTTCTTAGCTACAGTGTTGTTCCTTTTTCCTCTGGAAATCCTTAAAGAGTAACATCAGGTAGACTTAAGGGGGTTGTTAGGATAAGAACCCCAAAGTGACTCAAAGTCTACCTTTAGAAGCATCAGCCAACCGATGCGGGCAATGCAACGTGCACGTTTTGAACAGAGCAGAATGATAATTTGGTTGCTGAATTAAAAACAATGACATTGTCAGAAAGGAAGTAAAAGGAGGGCTGTGACTGAAAACTTAATCCTATCCTTCTGCAAAGGGAAAAAAATGTTTTCCTCCCTCCGTTTCTCATTTTCAAACAAATCTTATCTCAGAAGCGCAGTGTCCCCGAAAACTTTACAGGATGACTCCCATTTGATTCTGATAAAAGGCATGACTTGAACGGCTTGAGGATTGTAGAAAAACCTGTCCCTTTGGTTGAAGAAAACTGCATCTAGCTTAAGGATCGTAAGAAGAAACTTTCTCCTTTTTTTGCATGCCTTTATCAACAACGATGAAAAATTGTCTCTTTGAAGAAGGAGGAGTCCTAAATACGAATCCTGCCAACAGCCACCGAGGGCCGTTGGGAGGAAAAACAACAGTGTAAAATGATGATGCCACAAGAGGGCAGGCATGCTCCACAACCAAGGTGTTTTTGTCCAGAGATTTTTATGGGGCTTTTCCCCTTTTGGCTGCTTGTTCCTGCAGTTGCCACGATGGTTTATTATGTGTTGAAAGATACCGGTGCTGTGACTCCTATTAGCATCTATTGTTTCGGCGTGATAGTTTACAATCAGCCAGGCTGAAGTGTCTGGATAGCCAGGGCAGAAAAAAAAAACCTAGGTAAGGAGAAACAGGAGATTAAAACCTTGAACGCTGCCAGCAACCTAACACGGAAAAGGGTTCTGGGCTCTGCAAACCGAGGCCAGGGATATTAAGAGTAGCTGGTCAATATGCAGGAATGTGGACAAGAAGGAGATGCTTGATGCAGAAACTAAAGAGGAGGTGGTTGCCAGCAGGACCACATTTGGTCTTGCTTTCAATTGTTGTTACCCTCTTCTTTCTCTTATTTATGTACGTTATCTATTCGGAGGGAGGGAGAGAGGGAGGGAGGGAGGAAGGAAGGAAGGAAGGAAGGAAGGAAGGAAGGAAGGAAGGAGCGAGCTGATGACGGATGGAAGGAAGGAAGGAGCACATGATGGATGTATGGAAGGAAGGAAGGAAGGAAGGAGGAAGGAAGGAAGGACTGACTCTGTCTCAGAGGCAGTTACAACAGCAAATGAAATGGCAAGAGAAATGCATATTTTCTCCAACTGACACCTGTTTATGCTGACAACAGGATCTGCTGAGAGAGAGATACACACACATACACAGTATAGATACATAAAATCAAAATCATGTGGAAAACGTGTTTTAAAAGTGCTGAAGTATATTATAAAAATTGATCCATCAAAATACAGTTATATTCTATTTTTTTAAAAAGGGAAGGAAGGAGAAATGGAACAAAATAAACAAGTATGCAAGGATCAGCTGTTTTTTTTTTTTCAGCCAGCATGATCCTATCTGCTCTTCGCTCTCCCTCGTATTTCACGGAAACCTCTTTAAGGCTAACCTACATTTAAAATCCTCAATTTATTCTCCTTCTGCAAGCGGTTATACAATTTCCTCAAAGGCATAACGGGAAATCCTACCACCACAAAGCCTGCCAAACAGCTCTCGTGAAAAAACCCTGGTTATCTGAGGTGGCTCGCTATTGCGCCTGGTGATGAGAAGCAGAAACACGGAAGGCTTGTTATTCTGAAAAATCATATTTGAAAACAAACCACCCCTCCCAAAAAAATCCCCAGCCTGTATCGGATCCAAGAACTAGGAAATATTCAGGCTTGATTCTCGCATGCGAACAAGCTGCGGCACAAAAGCCAAGACACAGGGAGAGAAAAATTCCCTGGTGCGGGTACGGTTGGATTACCCTAGGCTGACAACAGTGCTCGGCTGATTTCTCCTCGTGGTGGGGTGAAATGAGCAAAGCCAGTGTCTACAAAACAGGGGGCTCTTTCCCTCCTGCAGCCCCCAAACAGTGTTTTATCACCAAAACACGGTTCTAGGAGTCTGATGGCGCTCTATGTCATGGTTCCAATCCCATTTGTAGAGTGCGCTGTAGTGCTGTTGCACTGTTGCAAAGAGTACAGGGTTTCCCCTCGCCGAACTACACATTGCAGGATTCTACCGGATGGACCCACGGCCTTTGAAGCAGCATCAGACTCCGCTGTGTGGGGCAGGATGCGACCCGGCAAGCCTGTATCCCAGAGGAAAAACAGACCGTGGACTCGTTTTTGCGATCCTGGAAAGACATCCAAACTGCCCGGTTGTTTATGCAACCTTGCCTAAGCTGCCCTGTCTTATGTCTACCTCCCTAGCGCTGGAATTCTTGGCAAGAACTCGCTGCCACATAAAAGAAAACCATGAAACCAGCTGCTTATGTTTTATTTCGGGCCCAGGCACTGAGGTTTATTTAAAGTTCCTTTCCTGCTGCAGTGTATTGTAATGGAGCTTGCACACAGCACAGCCGATCCTGGACTTCAGGCAAGACATGATATGGAGAGGGGGGAAAACAAGGCGCATGCTTTCATTGCTGGCTTCTCGTTTTCCCACTCATCTCGGCCAGATGAAAGATGCCGGGCTGTAAAAACAGGCCCGGCGGCAAACCAAGCTGGTGATAAACACAGAGATGAACTTTTGAGGGCTGAACGGAGGCAACGGTCACAACCGCCCTACTCACTGGCAGTCATCCAGCCACACGTCCCCTCCTCGCAGCCAGGCTCCATGATCCTGGTTCTTGTAAGCAATAAAGCGCCGGATGATAGCAGGTTCACGTGGCTTCAAAGGGTCGGCGTCTTTATGCGGGCTGTATCTAAATGGGGAAAGAGGTGGAAAGCGTGGTCAGCAGCATGAAAGGCTGGCTTTCTCAGGGCCCGAGGGAGCATGGGCTCTGCAGCCAACGCTTGGGCATCTGGAGGCCCTCTGGGACTGATGCAGTAACCAGATATATGGGACCAGATAGCGTTTGAGTAAAGTATGAACATTAGAAAGTGTGTGAAAACACTTTTTTTAAAAAAAGGTCTTCCAGATTATTTTATTTATGCTCATCGTTTTACTGATTCCGGGATCCTGTTGCATAGCTCTGCTGGCACAATGGGAGTGATGTCACCAGCTGCAGCCGAGTGCTGCTACTTACATATTTCTTTTGATTTGGGGAGGGGTATGCATGACCTGCATGTAATGATACAAAATCAAGCCCACCCTTGAATTGGGGGGGGACAACAACACCTCACACTCTTTAATTAGTGGTAACCTACTGCGGTTGGTGATGTCCCTGTTGTTGTGCCTGTGGAGGGACGGCACAGGATACTGCCTTTCTACTGTTTTTAGGTAGGGAGGAAGCACCGGAAATTAACCAGTAAATAAGCGCATATATTATGTGAACTGATGGGGGCAGAGAACAGAGGTTTAAAAGAAAGATGACCAGATATATTTGCATTTATAGCTCATATCTGGGCTATTAATGGCAGGGGATGTTTGCTCACAAATGCTTATTTTGAGAAGTCGGCGAGGAGATCTTTCCTACAGCTGATGCCTCTCAGCTGCCAGCGGGGCAAAAAAGGGTCAAGGTAACCAAGCCAGTGTCATATGACATTTGCTTTTCTGCACAACCTTTTTCCAAAGGGTTGGCTTTCCTTCCCAAAGCAAGGGAGGTAAGGATGTGACTTTTGTCAAACACACCGTGCGCAGGGGGTTTCACTTAATAAATGGGAAAGAATTATCCCCCCCCCAAAAAAAATCCCAGGGACATCAGTCAAGATTACCTCCCAGAAATTAAAGTCAGAATAGGCCTCTTGTCCTTGGCGGATGCTGGCGTCGTTTTCACTCCATTATCAATTATCATTCCAGCCTGAAAGAACGAAGAAGTTGAGAACAGCATTGTGTAAGAAATACTGCTTTTAAAAATCTGGACAGGTTGAAACTTTGGAATAAATAGCAGTTTGACTTAGTGTCCACCGGGAAAACCACATTTAGCATCATATTTGGCATGATGGTGTCATTTCAGTGTTATAGGGTTGGGTTGCGAGCTTCAGCAGTTACTTACAAGCCGTGCTCTCTTGAGAGGTCTAGTCACATTAAGCCGTTATGATTTTATGTCATTGGCTCCAGAGTTCTTTAGGGACTGGTATGTGAAAAACAAGATAAGCGGCTCATAGGCAACCCATACAGCTTTGCGTAGCAACAGCACTGCCATAGGTCCTGCTTAACTAAAGGGGTTGTGGCGTTCTCTTTCCAGGCAAGATTCAAAGGCGGCCCTATGCAGAGTGTGTTACAGTAGTCTAGTCATAAGGTCACCCATACCTGTAGATGGATCTCTACTCTACATAGGCATGGACAGATGTGCATATCCTTAGTGAAGGTTACGAATCGAAAAGTAGATCAGTGTCCACAGATTTTTTTTTTTAAATACAGAAACAGAAAAACATCAGCAAGAGCCAAACACAAAAGCGAACAGAAAAAAAATAGGGTCTGCCAGTTTAAATGCTGGGAAATCATTTGCTCTGGATTTTATAGAAACAGGAATGATGTCCAGTAATGACTTTCAGACTCCAGAAGGGAAAGACGGAAAAAAAGAGCTTTTTCTGAATGCAAAAAGATGATTTCCATGGCAAGCTTACTCACTCGATAGTTGGAATGCGCTCGGTTGTTATAGAAGGTTCCCATTGGAAGATGTTCGGAATAGCCGGGAGGGTACATTCCGACGGAAAGACCCGTTGGCACGTGATGCAAGACGAACCAAAAACCAGTCTCCTGGAAGACACAACTCAAAACGTGAGCCTAGCCCTACTGCACCCTCCGAAGCTCTTTGAATACCTCTGGACGCCTTCTTTCCCCCACCCAAAATACCCCATAGGTCCTAGCTCACTAATCCTGCTCCATTTAATGCTCCAAAATGCCTGTTTTCCAAAACTGGAAGTGGACTTTCACAGCCATTACCGAGGGAATTATTTCCATTCTTAATTCCCCCCCCCTTGAACCATTCAGGGGTTTTGCAGTTGAACTTAAAAACCTTCCCCAGCCCCCCCCCCGAATGAGCTTTTGCACCTACTTTTGAACCAGCTGCGGCGCAGTTTATCAAGTTGTTGTGCGGGTTGGCCAGCCAGAAGGTGGAGACGGCGCTGTTGAGGGTGGATGGGAAAGAGAGAAACGTGAAAAGGGGGTGACACACCTGGAGCAGGTGGCCTTCTATCCGTGGTTCCCAAGCTTGGATCCCCAGATGTTCTTGGACTCAAACTCCCAGAAGCCTTCACAGCTAGCGGTGCTGGCCAGGATTTCTGGGAGTTGCAGTCCAAGAACATCTGGGGACCCCAAGGTTGGGGCACCACTGCTCTATTCCATAGGGCCCAGCCAGCTCAGATCGCTCCGTAGATAAACTGAACTGTTTATGGAGTGTAGTATTTGGGGTCTCCCTCCCTCTCTCTGTTGTCTCTCTCTTGTTCCCCTTTCATTTACAGCTGTCAGTCTGGGAGAAAACACAGCCCTGGTCTTGAAAGCCTTCAAAAATTCCAGGATAAACTATAAAACGGTGTGCCGTCAGTTATATTTTACAGCGTGATAAGCGTTTCCTCCTATGAGCCAGCAGGAAAGGTAGAAGGGGAGACTCCCTCCGTTTGGCTAAGGGCTGGTTTGAGCATCCTGGTGGTTTCCTTGAAGATTTCAGCACCTGAAATTCTTGAAGGCTTTTCAGGGCCCTTCCAGAGACAGGGAGAGAAAGGGAGCGCCAGAAAGGGCAGAGAAAGGATTCAACCCTCTCGAGGAGGAAACCAGATTTTCTCCAGAGGCGCTCCATAAGCAGCAGCCTGCTGTGCCTTGAGAACTGACATCTTTGTGAAATTTACAAGGCCTTTCAGAGGAACAGAATCCGGCTCACTTTATGAAACATATCAGGACAAATTTGTATCAGCAGAAGATGCAATTGAAAAAAAGGGGGTGCACCCACTGCAAGGTGTAAAGGGGGAAATGTGGGTAATGACTCGGAAGGGGGGAAACAGAGACCCTGGATGTCATTTATGAGTCGAAATGGTTTTTAACATTTGACATGTTATTCATTCAAAGGTCTTTTAATCAGTTTTATAGTTAATGTGTAACCTATTGTGTTTTGAATTCTATCCATTTTAATGGATGGATGGATGGATGGATGGATGGATGGATGGATGGATGGATGGATGGATGGATGGATGGATGGATGGATGGACGGATGGATGGATGGATGGACGGATGGACGGATGGAGAAAGAGCTGGATGGATGGACGGATGGATGGACAGCAAAAGGTGAGAAATATCAACATATCTGTAATGATGGACAGAATCCCACCTTCACGTTCCCGTGATCTGAAGTAAGATTTATTACGTGTGCAACATGGAGATAAAATTGCTTTTCAACATGTGGTTTTGCTTTGGCATGATTTCCGTGGAAAAGCTCACACATGCAGAGATGAAGCAACATCAGAACCCAAAATGCGCAATCTACTTCTTCAAGAATCTAAAGAAGAAGCCCAGTGGTGTCTAGAGGTTCAGTTGCTCCCCAGTACTGAGCTTACTGGGACACCAAAGAGTAAAACTCTTTCCAGGGTGATGACCACCATGGATCTGTCTCTACTCACTTGCAATCCTGCCTTGGTTTCGGGACGTATCCTGGGTAGGTCCCTTCCGTAATCATCTGGCACATCCTTGTGTCCCGGTCGGAGGGCAGCAGAGTGCTAGGTTTCACCATGAGTCCCAGGCAGTGGTCAAAAGTGTTGCGCACCTCGGGCCCATCTTCTGTGAAAAAGCAGTGCCCCAAGGTGTCGTATCCCACAACATCCTTGATCTGTGGGTACAAAAAAACAGGAAGGAGATGAGGTGGCCTTCTGATGTATTCATAGTGCCGTTTGCATCTAGATCACTGACTGGGGAACTTTGGCCTTTGAGGTACTTTTGATGGAGTTTTATTTGCAACCTCGCATGCTGCCTATGATTTGTTAGCGCTAACCAATTGTTTCTTCTAGCCTTTGGATTCAAGGAAATTCCTGCCTCTCTGCTGAGTCCTTTTGCCCCCTCTTTTTTTTCTGTTGCAGTTGTTTGTTTGCTGTTGTTCAGTTAGTTGCCAAGTATGTGTGCAATTTTAAAAAAGCAACAGACACAAACCTGGAACTTCAAGTAACTATAAATAAAGAAATGTTTGTTTTAATCCTTTCCCCTAAATATGTCTCAGAGTGAGTTATTAAGACTTTTAAGTGCCAGTAAATGAGGAAAGGGTGGATACCAGGAAACTTGCAGTTATTATCCTCAGTGAATCTCTGTATTTCTACATTTAAGCTCTAACTCAGAAGTGATAAACCCATGGCTACTCCGATGTTTCGAACGTCAACCCCCAGCAGCCCCAGGGACCACGGCCGACAGTAGGAACTGTGAGTGTTGCGTCCAAAACATCAAGAGGGCCAAACTCTTGGTCCAGTGTGAAGTTTGTCAGGTCAACATTGCTCAGCTTGAAATACCTTTTGGGGGAAAAAAAGTACTAGGAAAATCCTTCGGACCTGAGAGCCTATAGCTTATGTCAAATCAGAGCTTGGAAAAAGGTGTTGATTTTATATTTTTAGAAGTAATAGCACTTGTCATTGTTGCAGGATTTACAGTTCTCAAAATCTGGAGGAATATGGGGGGCTGTAGTCCCAGAAAGCCTCTTATCCAAGTGGCCAGAAACAGGACCTCCGAGATCTAGGTCTGGCTGAATCATTTTGCTTTACCGCTCAACCCACGTGCTTTGCGTAGCAAGCAGGCTTTTAACTCGGATGCCTAAATTTCAGGAGTACCGTTTGTCTGTCTGGTCCATTCAAGGCAAGCAGGAATCACAAGGTGCACAACAAATTATAGGCACCAGATGCAACCCTCTTCCGCAGCGAGCTACTAAGGAGGGATTCATTTCCCCTGGAGTTCTCTTCTCTGTGAATCCTGGCAGATCAGGGCTCATTTATTTAACGTGATCCCCGATGACAGCTTCAGTGGCTGAATATATAGACGAAGCTGATAGCTTCTGACTCAACATATTCTTCCTATCCTGACCCTTTGCCATAAACATCCATCTGTCCTGGTATAAGTCAAGCCAGAATTTAATGTCGGAGGGTTCTGCCAGGTTGCAGAACGAAGTGGACTGTTAAATGCTCCTAAGGGTGAGGGTTAGACGTGGGCAAGGAGGTCGGGAGGTTGGGCGGCATGAGGCCACGTCAACAGGGAAAGAAAGCATGGGCTGGCTGGTGCAAGCTGGGCAGGAGGTTATGATGGTACACTCGATGCCTGAGACAAACAACCGCAATACTATCCAGATGCACTTCTGCAGGTTTCCCCTTTGGGTGTATTCTTTTGCCTCGTAATGATGTGCTCTTTGTAAGGTGTCGCTTGAGCCTCCAGTTTGATGCTTCTTACCAGCAAGCCGTTGGATCCGTGGACAGTGACGCAGCGAGAAAAGGCGTGGTGGATGGAGAGATCCTTCACGTAGCTTGGAGGATCGTAGCCGCCCACCCCGTCGACATCTCCGGCCATGTGGAAGTGGATCGGGTAATGGCCCAGGGTTTGCTGCCCCATGTGTTTCAGCTCCACGCCTTCCATGTGGAACGCTTTGAATCCGAGACCAACCTGGAGGAGGACAAAGGAGGAGACGTCAAGGAGAAGAAGGCAGTGCCCAAGACCTTCTTCTCCTGGTCATGCATTGGTGGCGCCATCTTTAAAAGAGAGAGAGAGAGAGATTGAGAACTGGAATCCCATTGCTTTTAATGGGGAAGAATTAAGCACGTCTTTGGATTCTCCTCTTGAAACTCAACGGGCTTTAAGATCATTCTGCTATGGTTGGTGCTCAGCACCGGTCCCAGTAGAAAAGGCACCACAATATTGACCACGAGACAGCATGTTTCATTAGACCCGAAGGCAGCAGATCCATTTGGGGAGCAAAAGGCTGAGGGTCTTTGGAGGGGGTTCCCATTGAGGTCCCTCAGCACCGACCTTCCGAACCTACCGTCTGAGGCCGCGGCCTCATTCTGTCTCATGGTAGGGCCGGCCACGTTGCCTAGTTTATACACAAATTCTGCTCAAGCGTAATTCCGCGATGTGCAGAGCCGGGGTGGGTTCCCAGTATCGTGGCAGAGGCCACCAGCCTGATGGGATGGAGGAGGAGGAGGAAAACAGGCGGCTAGAGGACTGCGCGCCGTACCTTGACGTGGCCGCCGAAGGTGTCAAAATCGAAAAAGGAGCACAAGCCGTTGTTGTAGTCGTAGCACCCTTCCTCCATCTCTCCCATCACCACGACGTTGCGGCTGAGGAGACCCACTTCGGCCCTCATGTCCACCCCGTCCACAATCTCTCCTGTGTGAAGGTAGGTGGGCTTCCCTAGAAGAAAAATACAATTCAGTTGGGAGGTGTTTACCTTGGTATGGAACCCTCCTCAGAGGCAGGCCACATTCAACAAGAGGGGCTTTAAAGGGAGGGAAATGATTGAATTGGGGCAAGACCACCTTTGGAAGTAACGGTCTACAAATAATGAGCCACTATCATTCATTCCAGAAATACCTATCATTCATTCCAGCTATAGGTGGAGTTTATTTGGTCATTCATTTGTTCATTTGTTCAACTCTTACACTGCCTGATGATTGCAACCCAGTTGTGATGAAGGACCACTTTGCTTCTTCTACAGCGCGACCATTACTTTTTTATTTTCTGCTTATAATTACATTTTGTAACATCCTGATTCGTAATTACGAATTGACAGGAATGTGGCCTTTACTGCGTTTAGGTGGACGTAGACTACCCTGCCGTCTAACGCTTGTTTTAGCGACAGGTCTTTTTCCATCGCTCTACTGACACTCTGAACTTGCAGAGCTTTACTGGGAAGTGTGGCTGAGTTCAAGAGGACTTACTTCTGAGTAAGCCTGCCCGGGAATATAGCTTGGATACAGCTACCTTAAATATGCATAAAAGAGTATTCCCTTTTTTCCCTTCCTTTTCTCACCCCCGCCCTTCGAAACATGTGCATCTGGGAAGACTGAGCTATTTATTTGTTTAGTAATCCATCCACTGGATGGTTGTGCATGTAACATATCTCGCTCTCGCTCTCTCTCTCTCTCACACACACACACACACACACACACACACCGTTCTTCCCTGACTCAGCTCTTTTGCACCAGCGGAAAGGGAGGAGCAGGAAAAGAAGGCCTCACTGCCTACATTCTGAACAGATCCAGAAAAAGCCACCCCTACACCCGCCAACGAACAGATTTTTGAAAACCATGTTACATGTGCCTGCAATTTCATTTCAGGAGAGGAACAGGATTCGCACTGCTGCACACGCCGATTGGGAACAAATGCCCCAAACTCCAAAAAATATCTAGGGAAGAAGGGAAGAATTTCTCTTTGCAGAGAGTCAGAGAAAAAAAGGGCTTAAAGCAAATGCTTATCACCCTCACCTTAGAACCGCAGAACAGGAAGGGAGTCTGTGGGTCATCAAGTCTAGCCCCCCATTAAAGATTCCCCCAGAGGGGGAATCGAACTCTCAGACTCTGGCACTGAACTATCCAGCAGTTCCTATACATCCACGGGGTGGAGAAAGCAACAGAAGGAAAGTAGTGCCTCTCTTTTCTTGCCAAAGAGTGGAAATTGACATCATGCAATTGACAACAGCCAGCCTTGAAATTGACCGGCAGTCCCTGCAATCCAGACACAAGGTGTTGCTCTTAAACAATACATGCACACATTTATGGAATTTATTACTACAAGGTGGGCCGATGGCCTCTGTCTGGACTCTAAGGTTTTAAAAGAAGGCTAGACAAAATTCTTGGAGGATTGGTCTGCTGATGTCTCTTAGCCTTGAGGGCTAGTAAAGCCTCCCTGTCCAGAAGCACTGTATCTGTACTTACTGATTGCAAAGGGCCCAAACAATCAGGAATGTTTCTTTTCTTTCCTGGCTGATTTCTGGGATTCCTGGAAATAGCCGGATAAAAGAACAGGCCTTGCCAAGCTTACGTATTTGGATGACAGATCCCAGAATCCCCCGGGGCAACCTGGTGGCTGGGGGGATTCTGGGACTTGCAGTCCAAATATTATTTCCCCAAGGTCCAGGAAACAAGAAGTTGGACTATGTGGAACTTTACTCACACTCAACAGAGCTCCAAGGTACCAAAATCCATTTGTGTAGAATGATGTACCAACAGAGATACAAGAATAGCGATAAAGAGAGGAAACGGATAGGAAAGCCGGCTGTACTCTCAGCTGACCCCGTTTCCAGTCTTGCAAAGTCCATTAATGAGATGTGGTTATTAATTGCCATAAGCCATTCCCGGAAAAGCAGGCAATCCGTTTCCTAAATGGCAAGGAATGGGGCTTTCCAAAACCCATCGATCGGGAATATCGATGGTTTTCCTATCACCCTTTGCTTTACTGTCGGTATCTGTGCCAGGTGTTAGGAAAACACAGGCGCCCATGTGCTTGGGTTTTATTTAATACCTGCACGGACATGCAAAGACTCCGAAAGGCCTAAAATGTCAAGCATGCAGGGAGAGATTTCTACATCACCCATGTTTGTGGGTGTTTGCTTTCATGGCATGCTTTTGCTAACTTGGCTCAAAGAGTGAGAGATAAGGAAAGGTTTTCGAAATGGGTGTCGTTGGCTGTTTATCCTGCTCCTCTTCTCCAAAGGCTGGGGCCTTTTTCACTGCATCCGTTAGCTTCAGAGCGGCTGCTATGGACCGTTCACACCAAACACATAGGTAGAGAAAGCTTGCTCCCCACTCCGGGAGGTTTATTTGGGAAGCCACATTTGCACGGCTAGAATGACGAGCACCACCCTTGAATGCCTGTGGCAATTTTTCCAGAATCTGTGCAGAGAGCTGCACGCGGGTTTGCTAACATCAGCTGGGCGCATGGTGTGCACCACTATGATCTTGCGCAGTGTTCCCAACCCTGTGTCACTCAAGGGTTCTTGGACTGCAACTCCCGGGAACCTTCCCCTAACCAGCTGTGCTGCCCAAGGCTTCTGGGAGTTGCAGTCCAGGAACACCTGGATTATCCAAGGTTGGGAGCCACTGGTCTAGTGCAATAGCTCCCGACTTTGGGTCCTTAGATATTCTTGGACTAAAACTCCCAGAAACCTTCACCACGAGCTGTGTTGGCCAGGATTCCTGGGAATTGTCATCCAAGAACCTCTGGGGACCCAAGATTGGGAAGCACTGATTTAGTGCATCTGCCTATTTAAATTAAAATAACTTATTTGACAAGAAAGTCCTTCAAGGTTAGTTGGTTTTTCTATCTATCTATCTATCTATCTATCTATCTATCTATCTATCTATCTATCTATCTATCTATCTATCTATGTATCTATCTATCTATCTATCTACCTACCTACCTACCTACCTACCTACCTACCTACCTACCTACCTACCTACCTACCTACCTACCTACCTACCTACCTACCTACCTACCTACCTACCTACCTACCTACCTACCTACCTGCCTACCTACCTACCTACCTACCTACCTACCTACCTACCTACCTACCTACCTACCTACCTACCTACCTACCTACCTACCTACCTACCTACCTACCTACTTACAGTATCCACGATTTCTAGGGTGACCCTTTCTGCCATTAGTTCAAGAACCATCTTTGCTCAAGGAACTTTATCTTTGTCAATACTGCCTTGCACCGTTCTTGATTTATTATTATTTTTAAAAAAACACCATTCTTGGCTTTGAAGTGGAGTTGTTTTGCTGTGGGTTTTTTTTTTTAAAAAAAACCTGATGTTTACAACCCAGAGCAAGCCAAAGGAGCGGCGGTCTGTAAATGTTTGGCAGAAAAAAAAATGTCTTAAACAGAGAAGCGCAACGAGAGACCTGCAGCGGCAAGAATCCCGTCCCGTAAAAGGCCGGGTCACAACACGCTCACGGAACACGCCGGCAATCTGCATCCGATGCTGGATGCCCAACCCGCCCGTGGGGCGTATATCAGAGAGGCAGATGTGGAAGATAGGGCGAAGCGCCCAGGTGGCTCGGAGGTGAAGACAGCTCGCCCACAAGAGCTGCAAATTGTGTTCTTTACGCCGGTAGTGCTCACGGCAGGTGCAACGGGGGGTCAAAGCACATGCCTGCATGTTGAAATACAAGCCGAGCAGAGCTTAGCAATTTCTGAGACGCCGGTCGGACGGTACGCACCGGGGTGGAGAACGTTTTTCACCCCGAGGGCCGCATTCCCTCCTGCACAACCTTCTTGACATCCTTTGCCTGCTTCGCCACAAAATATGACAGCAGATTTCTACCCCTACTGGCGTTCGAGATTTGGCACACACAAATAGCATTATTTCATCCTTTACTTTTTTAAAAAAATGCTTAGTCCCTGGGAAACCGACTCCATCCATCTGATCTGAGGAACGTCTAACTTGGCAAGTCTTCGCTCCCATGCGTTGGGATTCTCACAGACCCAACGTGGCTGCTTGGGACCAGAAGCGCGCCCGTCATCGTCCGTTCCCCGGCCAGTTCGTTTCCAGAGACATAGACCGATGCCCTGCAACCAGCCACTTATTGCAATGCCTCACAGCCTGCCTGTTATTTAATCTTAATTCCTCACAGGCGGGTGGGCGTTCGCAAGTGAGAGAGAAGGGCGTGGGCCTCATTCTTACCGACCACAGCAGAGCCGAACATCCGTCTCTTACTGACGGTCAGCACTTATTCTATTCCCAACTGTCCCTCCAAAATTCTGTTTATAAAATAAAGCACCGTTTATTAGCAGGAAGTGTCCAAAATAGCTCAGCCAAATATCATATGCCAAGCATATTGCTAAAAGATGAGGACACGGGTTATAATTAGACATTTGTCTGATCACAAGGGGCATTAAAGAGACTGCGGTATTATAGTTTAATCTTTTTTTTCCTCCCTACCTTGTATATGAGGATCTTAAATGTAGCTCAGATACAACCAATCCTGTCTATTTTCCAGCACAGCTCCCTTTTGCCTGATTAAAGGACGTGGCAGAAAGAAATTCAACAGGTACCATTTGCCCAAGCGTGCAGTTGCTTTGATGAGAAAACTTTGTGAACCTACCTGTTGGTTTGCTGCCTGCCATCTATTTTAAAGGCCCAGAACCCGCGCCTAGCTTAATTAGAGCCTATTCAACACACATACACACACCCATGCCATTTTTATAATCATCAATTCTAATGAAGCGAGAGAGGATTTATTATTTTTTTTTCATATCCTTGGTCAAGAGTTCTCAAAACACCAACTGCTGTAAGGACTCCAGGAAAGAACATTTTTCTGGCTTCTTCCGGAAATGGAATTAGTACAGGAAGAAATTTCCATTTGGGCCACCTCACGATGGAAGAGCGGCCAAACCAACAGACAGCTTTGTCCATTTAGACCGCTCATAACTCAGGCCCACTTCACAAAGCACCACAAATACATTATTTTGGGAAAGGGAGAAACAGCAAAGAAGGGAATCTCTCTCTTTAACCGTTCTACTTTCAACTCTCTGCTCCTACATTGTTCTGTTTCCCGATGCACCTATAACCACAGGACCAACCTAGCTGAGATTTTCCATGAGATTTTCTTCACCTCTGCATCTTGCATTGAGCATACTCTGCTTTCTGATTGGTCAATGGAAGGCAAATGGAGGTTTAAAACATGACTATGGTGGCATGCGTTTCCAAAGAAATCTCAAAACTTGAGGGGAAATAGGTTAATCTAAGGGCAAACATCTCCCCTATCACTTCCAGTTTGACGCAAGAAATGCATTCCCCTGACAGCTTTTATTTTCACTGTCTATCTCCCAAAGTTGTTCTCATGATGTAATTTGTGTCACACACATTTAATGTGGTTTTTCCAATCACCTCAAAACTGTTGCTGCGGAAAGAGAAAGGAGCGTGGGGAGAAACCAGGGCTAATTCTGCAGATCCATTTTCCCACAGAGACGTGCCTGCCACGTTTAGTCATGAGGCTATGATGCATGTGAAACCAGAATAATATTTGTCTTGGCCCAAGCGATCAACTTTCTTTCAGCCCATTCAACAATAAGCCCAAAAGCTACAAGTTCCTCCTCGTACAGCTGAGTTAGAGATGGTGGAAGAAGCCGGGAATGAATGAACTTTGAACGGTATGTTGTATATATTGCTCAGTTCTCTCAAAATGATTTTTCTAGACCTCATCCACATACTCTCCACATTCCGTATAACAGTCCCACGAAAACCTGGGCAGCGATTTGTCCTTGGTATATTCTGCCAAGTTGCTCCTGAATCACTGCGATCCTAACAGAGTTTTCAAAGTATGACAGATGTTCCAGGAGTGGCTTTACCATGAACACGCCCCATGTGGCCCAGAAGAGATTTGAACCCAGGTCTTCTGAGTCCTAGCTTGGCATTCCACCCATGAAGGATGAGATTTTGGGATTTTTCAGGACTACAGATACCATAATTCTTATTTTATTTTCTGTGCCTCATGTTGTACCATACTTTGCACAAGATTCTACCCTCCCACGTGGTTTGGATTCGAGCATCTCCTTCTTCCCACCATCTCCACTCCCAGCCCGTGTGACCTACAACCTGGACCTCAAACCTGTGGGTCTCAAAGGTGGGGAGACCTACCGGCCACTTTGACTTCACTGGGCCCACAGGCTCGGCAGGGCAGAACCTCAAACTCTTCCGCTTGATGCATTGAGTAGTCCGTGCTGGCCACCACGATCTTATCCCCAGCCTTCCAGGACCGCACGTTGTCCGCCAGTCTCAAGATGGTGCTGTTCACGTTGGTGTCAACGGTGACGGTCAGCTTGGGTCTCACTGGAAAGCCATGGAGGGAAAAGCAGGTGGGAGAGAATAAAACAGGAAAGGATTAAACATCCTTCTTCATCCTTCTATCCCTTCCATTTAACCTTCTGCAACGGGTGGGCAATTTTGAAGGGAACGTCCTTATCCACACAGCTGTACCCCCAGGAGATTCTAGCTAGGACTGCTAAAAAAACACACACAAGATACATAGCACCAATCATACCTGGTTTATGAGGCTCAACTCCCAACCATGGAGAAAACATTTGATTCTCAAGAGTCCACAAACCCATTTGAACGCTTTTCTTTTCCCCGGAGAGCAGGTCTTTTGCAAAGTCAACAGGTCTTAATGTCCAGTCCAAGAGCAAACCCCCAATAGAACACTTAATGGGTAGGAGATGCACATCTCACACCATGTTCTGTGCCTGGACCCTCCCAGCTGTGGTGCCACTACACACTTGCTTCATGGCTCAACAGAACCAAGTCTTGGGCTGTTCCCAAGGAAAAACGGGACCACCCTTCGCATTTGCTTGCCAGGTCTGACTTCCTTGGTTTTTCCTTCTTTTTTTCTCTGTCGGTTTCCACAATTCAACAGGCAAAGCAACATCAAAAAAGGGACCCATTCATTACTTGCTGGCAAGGGTGTGTGTTCTTTTCCATTAAACTCATAACTAAATTTAAACGTAGCTCTCTGTAGCTCGGCTGCGCGCCACCCTCGACCTCCCGGCACTTATGGCCATGCTGGCAATGGCATTTAAAGATGCTCCCAAAGCTGGATTCAAGGCAGTGACCGATTTTTGTGGCCCATCAGCAGAACGGCCACCTCATTCCCGCCCCCAAAAGAAAGGTTAAAAAAATTCAACAGAACCACTGGCTCCTTTAAAAATGAATGACTGCAAAAGAAAATGAACTATTTCTTAAATGAGGGCTTCTCTCAGCAGCAGTGGCATGAAAATACACCTAGAAAGAAATAACTTGCCCTCTTCTTGAAGTTACTTAATGGTGGGGAGAGTTCTTTTGAGGGCCTCTCAAACCTTGGAAGAGCTACCTTTTCAGACCACCACTCCCATAATCCCCCAACCAATGCTGGTGGAGGGGGGTGGGGGGAGATGCTGGGGTCAATAGTAAATAAATAAATAAAAAGTTCAACTTGGAATTAGCCATCACTCCAAGCTCACGGGTCTCACACAGGCAGGATAAAGAGACACCTACAATCTTCCTAAGCAGAAAGACTCAGGTGGTACTCCTGGGCCCATCAGTCCCCATCAGACTGCCTAAATGTGAAGGATGATGGGAGTTGTTGTTCCTCAACATCTTAATGCAAGCAGAAAGCTAGCACCTCAGGAAGAAAGATTCCAAACTTTTGCCTAGTTATCTATTTGCATGGAGTTATTTAATTGCTCTTCTCTGCAGAACAGGACCGTCCACCTGAACTGGGGCAGTCTATCTGACCATCCTACGATCTCCATCTGCGGCAGGGGTAGAGTAAACCCTTGAACTGGCACGTCTTCCTGCAATCTTTTGAATTGAACTTCCAACCTGCTCCATGTATTGAGACTTTGCTGCTGGAAAGGGTGCATGAGGGCTAGTAACTTGAGTTTTAAGTCCAAACGCTAAATGTAACCAGAGTAGGGCGACTGAACGGTCATGGTTCCATTCAATGGCCGTTCCCTAGGAAGGACGACACACTTGGATTGAGGCCTCAGTGGGGAAGATAGGAAGCTGTCAAACCGGAAAGTGAAGTGTTTGGACGAGGGGACCTGCACCACTGCAATTAAGAAGGCTTCAATTTCATGCAGAGCCTACATTACGGGGATATTTATAACTCTTGAGGTCAAAGCTGCTTTGCACAATAAATAAATAGGTCAGTAGGAGTAAGCAAGTTTCAGAATGGGTCCCTGTCTCACAATCACACAGCGTGCCCTTAGCTCTCCAAAATGAGTCACACACACCAGGTTTGCCGCATAAGAAGCGCACTCTGTAGTTGTGGCACCCTCCGGGAGCCTGTTCGGGGCCGCGGCAAAAGAACCTGTAATCACGGCCACTTTTGTAGAGGACCTCCGTGGTCAGCTTCGCTCCGTCCAAGGTCACCGCCTGAGAGGAGAACAGAAATGTAAAATGGGGTGGCAAGCAAGTATAACAACAACAGCAATGACTCTGTAACACCTGTGGGGTGAAAGAACAGGTGATTCGCATCGTGGAAAACCTTAAAAGAAGACTGTATTAGAAGAGGTAGAATACATTTGCTAAAATGGGGCATGTCCCTATTGGGCAGGCTAGCGCTATAACACATAGCGCTATATCAGCGCTTTCTTTTTGCACCAGTTCATTGAGTAATGTCTGTCTTTGCTTCGTGCCATGAGTGTCGTACAAAGTATCAGGACTGACGTAGAAGGAATGAGTCCACTTAGTCTCTCTGGCCTTCATCCTTCAAAAGGGGGGGGGACACCTCTGGCCAAATTACCACTCTCAAAATCCCCAACCACTGGTTATGTGGGCCAAGGCTGATGGGCGTTGGAGTCCAGCAATGTATTTACCCAGAGTTAGGCCTTTGGCTGCAGAGTCAGAGGTCTGGAGTTTGATTTCCCCACTAGGTGCCTCCTGGGAGAACAGCCAGCCTGGGGGGCCTTGGGCCGGCTGCACAGTAATCCCAGGGTGAAGGGGATGGAGAAACCACTACTGAGTACTTTCTAACTTGAAAACCTTAGGAAGGGTCACCCTGAGTCAGAACCGACTTGACGGGACATGATTATTATTTAAGTCCCATCAGCTTTTCTTGGCCTGACTTCTGAGTAGACATGTGCAAGATGACAGAGTAGAAAATGAAGTATCTAGGGGATGAAGTTTCATTTGGCCCTAAACTCATTAAGTGACTTTAAGCCAATCTCACTGATGGAAAGGCAAGGTGTGCTTTAATCGTCGCCATCCTCAAAAGTAATTGCAACAGTAATAATGACATAATTAATAAACAGCAATAAATGAAAGACGGTGAAGGCGAGGAGAGGTGGTGAGGAGGAGATGCCGGTCCACTTGGCCGCCCTACCTGGATGTCAACGGGATGGTCGCAGATTTCCCGGTGAGCCGCTCGGAAGTCTGAAAGCCTCTCCCCATCTTTGGATTTGGATTTCTGAGGCTTCTCAAACCACTCTGTCCATTCAAGATCTAGAAGAGGGAAAGGGAAGCCATCAGATGTAACGGCCTTGACCAATCTGGGAAAAATGTGCTCCACAGAGGTTGGGGCCAAAACATTCTTCCAACAGCTGCCTGGCACTCACACCAAGCCTGCCGGCTATGATTTTGGAGATGCTGTGAGAGCCGGCGGGGGGGGGGGAAGCTACCTTCCTCCACCTGATGGCTCTTCAGATGTGTGAGACTACAACACCCATGCCCATTGGGGATGATGGGAATTGCAGCTAGTCCATCTGGAGGGTGCAAAGTCACAAGAGATCCCCAAGCAGGAATCTTTCAATACCCCCAACCTCTGCGTTGGCCAGCAAGGAAGAAATTAAAGGACTAGCTTTTTAAAAAAATTCTTTGGTGTTGTCTGCCTGATAAATAGGAGCTGCAGTTAGAAACAAGCAATATTAGCTTTCAGGCCCTCTCTGTCATATTAAAACAATTCCTGGTGCTCTCCGGGGGAATGGCGATTAATCAACGGAGACCAAGAATGAGTTTTGCAGCTTCAGATTTAACTGCATGCACACGCTGTCGCTCGCGCATCTATCGACCATACAAAGAAGAAGGCATTTCGCACCTTGAACCCACTCGCTGGTCGCAGATACATTAAAATGCTCTCCATTCTCCCCTTGGAATACTTTAAATACTTTGGCTACTGCTGACCCTCCACGTCCTGCAAGAAAGAAAGAAAAGAAATCACCACCCACTAACAACTGCAAAACCTCTGGAGGGTGATGGTTGAGACCCTCAACTTTTTGTGTGTGAAGATTTTGGATGATTTGGAAACTACCTGCAAAATTCCAAACAGAAGTGTTGGCTCTTGGCAGGATTCCCTACAAGCCATATTTGCCTCGCAGCCGAAAGAGAGAAGCAGCAGAAAGAAAAAAAAAACCAGCAGAATTTGTGATGTGAAACCTGCCACTGGTTTGTGCTTGGGTGCTGCTAGGAGAACTGGCGTGTCCTTTTCCTCCTGACAGGCGTGCATGATGGGGGCTGTTGTTCCACCTTAAAATCCCTGCAGCGCTGAACAAATACCCCACCTGGGGCCCCCAGATGTTCTTGGACTGCAACTCCCAGAAATCCTGGCCAGCACAGCTAGTGGGGAAGGCTTCTGGGAAGTGTAGTCCAAGAGCCACTGCTCTAAGACGAACAATAAATGGCTCAATAGTGTTATTCCGTGCAGCAAAGTGCCAAACACCTACTTGGCCTATAAACGAACCAGAACGAACCCCCGAACTGGCATTTCGTGCCCATCTCTAGAGATGACAGATCTCCTGCTTGCAAGCTGGTGTTCCTTGTAATTACCTTGGTATTCCACGTGGTCTTCCACGGAAGAAGAAGGGATTCCTTTTACCGTAACAAAACTCCATGGGTGCCTGTGGGGGGGGGGGAAAAATCAAAATAAGGAAATATTTGTATTATGCTGCATGAAAATTTTTGGCTTTCTCAGCTTACCCCTTGGTTTGTTCCAAATGTTAGCAGCTGTGGTTAGCAGCCACCCAAACAATCTGATTTATGACGCATTTCATCTTGTATAAGGGTATCCGTTCTCTTTCCACCCCATTTTCCCGCATCGGAAAGCAGGGATGTTCAAAAGCAACGTTTCCCCCTGTCCAACTGTACGCATTCCTTCAGCTCCTAATAAGAGCTGGCAACCACCTTTAAGTTTGCATCTGACCTTGCAAACACTCTGCCTGTTTTTTTTTCCCAATGGACTGTTTGAAAGGATAAAAAGTAAAAAAAAATTACAACCCAACTTCAAAACCTTCTATGCTGGGTGGGAAAAGTAGTTAAACTTTATCACGACCGCTCTAAAGAAAGGGCAGCCTTCGAAGGTCGGGTCCATAAAGAACTTGTTACATGACAGAATCAGGGCTCAGTCGAAATAAATGTTTTGGAAGAACTACGTTTTGGGGAAAGGTGGGGTGAAATATTTGTAATAAATAAAATAAATAAATAGACAGATCACTTTCATGTTAGCAATCAAATTGTAGAAGGCCTTTGGCATACGTTTAGATGTATTGCTCCCTTAACTGGTAAAAGATGTATGTTTGCCTAGAAAAATCTTTTCTCACTTCCTCATCTCCAAAAATCTTATTACTTCGGTTTGTGATTGGTCATCTGGATGCAAACACAGGCTTCATTGGCCAGTCTGCTTGCTCAGTTAAGTAGCTTTGAAGAAATCTCCAATCTTTATGAAGGACATGTTGTCAGCTTCTAAACGTCAGCTGAACACCTCATGGAGGTTGACTTCCATCCTTACTGGAACTGCCAAAATGCATTTTATGGTATGCATTTATGCAGGGCGGTTCACAGTTTTTATTGCCGATTAATCCGAACATGGGGTGGAACCCTAGCCAAAAAAACATGCAAAAGCAACACAGACTGGAAACAGATCCGTCTGGGTTATTCGTGCTTTTGACTCACCAGCTAAACCCAACCAGATATTTTATAGTATGACCCTACTTAATTAAAATAAAAACAAACCACATACATGTCTATTTGCAGTTTGTCTGGGACTGCAAAAAAAGAGAAGACAACCTTGTCAAGTAACTGGAAACCCACAGGACTGGGTTGGAAAACTGTGTTTTTCTTCAAGGTGGCGAGCGGCACAAGGGTTAACAGGGCCCCATTGGCCCAACAGAAAGGATGAGCCGCACCAACGGCTGGGGCTCATCGGAAAACAGACAAGACTGGACTGGTTGACAGTGCGCAGAGAGCCACTGAGCAAACACTATACGTCATCTTGCCATCTTACGTTGCAAGGGTGGGAGCCATCAAGATTATAGCGCCAATTAAAAAAGGGGCAGAAAACATTACAACTTCTAATGCCACCAACAAAAAGATATATATCCGTTAGGTCAAAGACCTACTGGAGTTTGCAAGAGGTGAGCGCCATTGCAGCTAACCGGCTAGGTGTCTCGATTGCATGCCTGGTCACGTGACTGATTATGCAACTGAGACCTTCCTTGGCACCTCGCCAGTGAGTTGCAATTAGCCACGGAAGCTTATGCCACACTTTGCAGAAAGACCAACAGGATTCCAGCTACTGGCAATTGAAGCCAGCCAGTTTTTCTGACTAAAGAGAGCCCACTATTCTCCAGGTTTCCTGCCTGTGCAATTTGGGTTTTGGCTTTGTCTGGTTGAGGGAACAAAATCCCTCGGTAGGTTAACTGTTGAACATACCATGTGAGGAAAGGGGATTTGTGTGTGTGTGTCACTGTGCCAGGATATTTGAATGGGGAAAATGAGGGAATGATTTTAGCTCTGGGGAGAAGACAACAGGGTCTCTGTGTGCTCCTCTCCCTGGCCAATATACTTACCTAAAACCAAGATGGAGGAAATGTTTGCTGCCCAGTTTGGTCATCGCTTTCCGGGCTGTGTCGTCCAAGTTCTTAGAGCCTTCGTCGTTCACTGCGACCAAGAGGATCATGCCATCCTTGACGGCATTCAAATATCTGACGAGGCGAATGCTTTCGCTTTTGAGCTTATAGGTGTCAAATCTGAAGAAATGCACACACAAAAATGTAACAAGCAGGAGAGTTAGAGCATCGTTCTTATAATATTCAAAACCACAGGGGAAAAGAATCATGACGAGGTCATTGCACTGCATTGAAGGCCGCTAGCCGCAGCTCACCTGCTGTCTCTCATACCACTCCATTTCAAAAGTCGGTCTTTTTGGAGTGGTCTACACTGGCTTTGCTGCTCTTGGAGGCTTTCTAGAGAAGGTGATTAAGCTTTTAATTTTGTTTTCAAAATCCTGTCTTTTCATGAAGGAAAATGATGATCTCTCCCAATGTATATTCATAAAAGCTTTTCAGTGCAGATAAAAAAATATCAACTGAGCCAGAGGCGCAGACTTACCGATCCGAATGGTTAACGGCTCCCGTCTTGGGATCAATGACATGGACGATCACACCGCGGTGGCCCCAGCTCCGTTCAAAGTAGTAGCCGCCCTCCTGCAAGCCGCCGGGGTGCAGCGTCTTGTTCAGGAAAGTCCAGGACAACTTCTTTTGGCCATGAATCTCCAGCGTTCCGCCGTTAATGACCCCGACAAACTTCCGCCCAAAGTAACTGTCTGGTTGGCTGCCATCATCCGCACTACGGGGGGTTTACACAAACCAACATAGGGGGGTCACTGAGTGGATGACACAGGCCTTGGATGTATCCCTTGCTGCATATCTCGAAAACCCAACAGAGCCAGACGGTCCCCGCATAACAAAAAAGAAAGACGAGAAAGAAACGTCTTGTGGCCCCTTTAAAACGAACAGGTTCATTTTGGGGAAACCCGTGCTCCCATAAGCCAGTTCAGCTTTCAAGAGTTTTCTTTCGCCATTTATTCTCTACTGAATCAAACAGATTTACAAGCTCATGTTGGCATTCTGGAGTGTTTTATGGGCCGTCAAGTCAGAACTGACTTACAGTGGTTTTTAACAGGGCTGTCAAGGCCAGTGAAATATAGTGGTTTTACCCATTTCACCCCATCCTGAGTTTCCAGCACGGATTCAAATCAGGTCTACTGAGTCTTAGACCATCACTCTATCCAATACAGCACAGTTCATATAGATCATGTGTTAATCAAGCAAATCCTGATTCATGGCAACCCTTTCTAGGGTTTTCTGGGTAGAGAATACTCAGAAGTGGTTGACCGTTCCCTTCCTCTAGGGGGAGCCCTGGGACTGTGCAGCTTGCCCAAGGCCACCCAGGCTGGCTCTTCTCCCAGGAGGCCCAGTGGAGAATCGAACTCCCAACCTCTGGACTCCATAACCAGACACTTAAGTCCCTGAGCTAACCAGCCAGCTATTTTGGAGTGTTACTCCCCAAATATAGCCTTAGCTGTACTTTCTTTGACCTGTCCTCGTCTTTCCAAATTCTCATCCAAAAGTGGGGCTCCCTCCATGGCCACCCTCTTTGCCCATGGGTAACGGTAGCCATTTCCCAAAAGCGCTAGATCAGTATGTCAGACACTTTTTTAAAAAAAACGTCCTTCCATGGCTAATCTTCCAAATTATGGGATGATGGCTGTTTAATAACATACCGTCCGTACAAGATGATTGTCAGGTTGCTCTGGAAAGGGCAGTTCTCGCTCCCAACGTGCAGTTCTCCCTCATTTTCAATCAGAATATGCCGGGCACGCAAAACAATGGGAGCGGTGTTGTCCTTAATTACTAGTTTTCCTAGGGAAAGAGTTCAGTTGGTCGGTTAATTTCAGCTCTGACTGCATCAAACGGAAGAGTCTGTTTTGACATGGTGGAAGCTTGGCTTTTCTAAATTTAGCACTCGGAAATACAGTGTTAGCATTTACACGTTAATGCTAGAATCGATACTTTTGGACTAAAAAAGGAGTACGAGCAAGCCGATGCACCTAACCATCTTTTAAAAATAATATTTTGATAGTAACATTAAAGTGCTGTTTTCAATATACTCATTTCAGAAATCAGATCCATGAGTTTGCTTACTCTTGCCTTGAACACAAAAGCAACCGTTGTAGCATGAACATGTTAATTCTAACACATTATTTCCAAACTCTGCCTAGGCTGTGTCTTTTTAACAATGGACCAACAGACACTTGAATAACCTCCCTCTTTCCCATCTGTCTGAAGCTCTTTTTCCAATCGAGGCAACAAAACCAAATTCCTTCTTAGGTTTTTCAAAACCCAAAGCAAATATATCTCCTCAGGTCTCTGTAATCTTCTCCCTAGCACAGATATTTGCATTTGAAGACTTCCCGATTGCTTTGTTTGAAACATTCACGCTTCTAGTCCTCATGGCTGAAAACTTCCATATATGAAATCTTCAATGATGCCTGCATAACAAATTGTGTACTGGACAGACAGGTCAACATTCTACACCCAAGACATTTTAATGTTGCAACTTGGATAAACTATATTAAGCATGTGTATTGTTGTTAGTCAGTCATACAGGTGCCCTTAAAAGGCCTTTGCCTTGATAAATAGATAGTCATCCTCAATATTTCTGTTCTTAGATGGCTGTTCTTAATGGGCATACCTAATGTTGACCCAGTTCAAGGCAGCCAAATAATCGGCGCCATCCCAACGAGGTCAATTACAAGTATTACAACCCAGCATCAGGACAGAATGCAAGCTGATTTCAACATCTGGAGAAAGACTATTGAATTGTAGGGTTTGGGAACAAGAGACCAGCGTGTCAGCATTCCTGAAGTTAATTAGCAGAATTCCCAATCCTCCGCATCTCCTCCCACAAGCAGCTGGGTGGCAAGTGAGACCAGCTTCAGCTGGGTGGCAACGGTCAGGATTGCTTATGGAGCAAAATCGCAGCAGATGTAGGGTACCAATCACCAGCCAGGCACCCTTTAAAAGCAACTGGTGCCAGCTTTCGAACCACACACACAAGGCATGATAAGGAGGGGACTGGAAAAGGAAAGTTGTAAGAAACTGCAGCCCTCTCATGTTTCGGAGTTGCCCGTTCCACCTCTCCAGTCACAGCAACACAAACTAAATTGAGTTGCCCGCAACATTAGCTGACCGGTCCTCATTTGGTCCAGGGGCCACCTTGATACTAGACACACGTGGGCTTCTTTTCCTTACCCCCCTCCGAGCCAAGGACTAATGCGCACCACAGATTCCTTATTTTCCTTTTCTTTTGGAATAGGGGGAAAATCCCAACACGCAGCCTCTCCCTGCAAATACTTGGCACTGAAATGAAGCAGCCCAAAGAAAAAGTTCTCTTGCTCAAAAGACTCGGAGCTTCTTAAAGCCAACTCAAAGCACTGACCCAACCAGCGTGGTGGTGACTGCTTTTGATGAGCAACGCTTCCCTAAGGTTTTTGGGGAGCCGAGAAAAATCTTCTTAAGAAAAATCTTCTTAAGCTCTACTTTGTGATAATATTCCAGGGCTGCGCAGTTGCTTCAGGTCAGATTCCCTTCCGTTTAGTTTGTACACCTTCCAAAATAAACACAACGAGCAAAGGAATAGATGCACTTCTCATGACTCACCGTCAAGCCCGGCCCTGTCATTAGACAGCGTGTGGCAACCCTTTCAGAATGCAGGTGGCGTCTGTCTTTCCCCTTTGTAAGACTCGCCCTTTAAACTAATCTAATATCTTTGGGTGTAGCAGAGGAATCCATCCCATTGCTAGCAGTACACTACAGTTCCAACTTCCGGACCAGCTGAACTTTAGAAAGGAGAGACTGGTGTTTTATGGGGGGTTTTTTTTGGCCCTTTGCCTCAAGCAGCAAAATGTTTTGGGTTGGCCCTGCTTGATATTCATAGCCACTTGGAGGGCAGCGATAGGGAGAAGTTGACTCCTTTCCAACCAAAGAGGGTTCTCAAATGTTCACGGAGAGTTAGAAAACGGTGCATTTTTCTTTTCAACTGCGGCTGAAATGTAGAATTGTGGGAGTTGTAGTCCCCCCCCCAAAAAAAAAAACCCATAAAGTGACACATCCCGTCTCTGGGTTGGCCACACAGCAACATATGGGCAAAGGCAGAGTTACCTCCGTTTGTGATGTGGATGGAATGGACAGTGATGGAGGAAGACAAGAGGAACCTCTGGCCACGGCTGATGTTCACCCGATTCTCTGGATCATGTCCTGGATCCCAGGATTCCAGCTCTGGATCCCGATCAGGACAGGATGAAACTATGCCTGCTGGAATACGGGATAGAAGCAGAAGTTTGTAAAATGGCCCTTTTTTTCACGGGGAAAAATCATTACCATTGTAACAGGGCGGTTGGCATGCAAGAGCCTTCACCCGACCAACATCTCACAGATGAAGATGGGACACTTACCTTTTTCTTTATTTATTTATTGCATTTTTATGCCGCCTTTCTCGCCCTGAAGGGAATCAAGGCAGCTCACGCACTACGCTGTACTTTTAAGTTTATAGTGTCTTTAAGTTATAATGTTTAGTACATTTATGGTTTTATTTGATGTTATTTTGATGTATATTTTATTTTAATTTAATGTTGCTGATTATTGATCTCATTTTTTTTTGTTGTGAACCACCCACAGTGGCCCTGGTAGTCAGATCAAATAAATAAAAGAAACAAACGAATGAATATATAGCCATGCAGGGACCTACTGGTGGTCTGGAGTTTGGGGCTGACATCTTAAAGAAGCAGATTCAACTCTACAGGCCCCCGGAGGTAAAACAAGGTGCCTCTTTCCCAACATCCTTGAACAAGATGAGTGGGAAGCCAACAGTAATCATAACAACAAGTGGCTATCTGCACCCTTCAATGTGGCTTCCCCAGGCCCAAAGACCCAAAGCAATCTGGGTTCAACTGGACCAACGTAGGAACACAACCTTAAAATGAACCCGCAACTGTTTTTTTTCCTCGGTCTTGCCCATCCTCTGGAATTAGAATCAGATTTCACTAGGCCAGCCAATATGGACTCTTTTCCTCCCGTCAATATTTTCCAGTGTGCATATTCAGGAAATTCTTTGACTGACAAAACTATCTCTCTCTCTCTCTCTTTCATCTCTCAGCAGAGCTGAGAAGATAAACAGAACTCAACAAAAGTTTTCTCCACCTGCGTTGAGAGTCCGTATCATATTCCAAAAAGAGAGAGAAGAAGCCCAAGGCTGGAAGAGACGCTCGGAATGGGTCAGCCACATGCATCAGTCTGTGGTTTCTTGACCACTTCCCCAGCCAGGGTGACGGGAGAGAAAGGCGGACAACTGGCCTTCTGATTTAGGAATGGTCAAAAAGAAAATTGTTGCACCTCCAGGTTGCACCAGCTTGTCAGTGAGATATAAAGAAGAGCCCACTTGGCCAAAATTTCCCCAGCTGGCTTAGGGATAAGTCGGTGGGTCTGTTTGGCTTAGGGAAACTAGACTGAAATTTCAAGGAAAAAAAAAGAGAGAAACTGTGTCATCACAAAACAAGATCAAAAGAGGGTACGGCTTTCCATAATGTTAGCAGATATTGGGGATTGACCTCAACCCTTCAGAAGCCACAAACGTGTGTTTGGGTGACCTCGTTTGCCTTCCCGAATTGCTCAAGTTTGGAGTTTGTGGGATTAAGGAGAGACTGTAAATAAAAATCCCAGATATTGAGAACTAGCTTCCACCGATGACTCCCTCCATCATACTCTGTGCTAAATTTCCTTGTGACATCTGGCGGGCTGTTCTCAGAGGGGTCATAGACCTGCCCAGAAAAATGAATTAAGGGGCTTATAGGCCATTAAAAAAACACTTTGGGGGATGCCTTCTGTAAGGAGAGACACAGATGACTGGACAGAAGGGCAATATTAATAGCCCATAATAAAGATAGCTAAAGGAAATAATTCAAGGACCCAACTGGGTAATTTCCCCTTAAGCAGATGGTTGATGGCCAAGCTTAGCGAACAGATCAAAGTGCCATGTTCCAGCTGAGTTATGGTTGATTTCGCAAGGTATGTTTCCTATATGTGATGTTTCTCATTCCTACAGAATCTATTTGCCTCTGCCACAGATGAAATTCCATACCGGGCTGTGAATTTCTTCACCTTTGGGCGGTTGGAATGTATTTTATTCTCCTTCTCTGGCTTTGCAGAAGCAGTAAGAACTGGGATTTAATGGAGCATGAATGCTAAATACATAGAAGTGCATCGGAGCTTACTTGCGTGTAGAGCTGGCAGCACAAATATCAGCAGAGCAAAGCCCACGACAAGGCACATCTTTGGGTGCGAAAATGCTCTTTGCTCTCTCTCTAGTCTTCTGAAGGCCTGTGGAAAAGGTGAAAATAAGAGTATGAATATTTGTGGCAATAGGTTTTCTGCAAAGGATAGCATGAAGTCCAATTAGGATCAGTGATATAATTAAGCAGATGCGGGTTTCCCTTGTTCGTTGACCGTACAGCATCTAGGACCAGACTAGATGACCTTTTAGGGTCATCAGCAGCAACTACATCTTTTAGAAATAATTGTTATTCTAGAGTAAGTAAAGGAGGCTTGGTCCGGATCGTGACCCAGCCTGTGTGCCAGGGAGCTAGCGACTCGCCCCAATTAACTGTCCACGAAGGCTGTCATTTTAACTGCTGAAAAAGTTCTTTTATTCAAATGAATTTATTCATTTTGAACAAATTTCTGAGTGGCTCAACTCTCGCCCCATTGAAACTTGCTAACGTTGCCCAATCTGGATTTATGCAAGAGTTATGCAAGAGATAATCTGGAGTTTTAAAACAAGGGCAAAGAAGGCAGAACCACGAGGTAGCTATTCAAAATATTATGTAGTTGGATTGCAAGATCTAACCGCTCAATCTACTTTGCAGGCACCTTCTAGGAAAGATTAATACAAACCCTCCCAGTAGACGGTAGAGAGAAAGAAAATTCAAATATTTTTGGACCGACGCACAAGTGAATAAGCACTCGGCCTTGCAGAATATTTGCAAGGGTAAAGAAATAAAACTTGACAAAAATTACACCCAGGTTCAAACTGACGAATGAGTGTCAGCTTCAGACATCCATACACTGGGTAAACACACACACACACACACACACACACACACACACAAGCATGATGCTGTCAACGAAAGCATGGCACCAAGACATTTTTGTGTGCATGTCTAGTTTATTTATTGCTTTCCAATAAATGGATACATGGAAAAATATCCTGACACTTAGATAAAATATTTACGAGGTGATTTTCAATAGAGTCAGCAAAACTCCAGGTACAAAAGAACAGGATGGACAGATGGGGCTCTCCTGTTGTTTTTTTGGCCTATTATCCTCCCCAGTCGGCACAGGAAAAGGTGAAGGATGATGACAGTTCTGGTACAATGACACAAGAAGACCCACATCGCCCACCCGTCCCCTACTAGAGTAACAGGTGAAAAACAATATGTACAAGAAACCAAGGCTACATGAAGCCGTCGCCAGAATTAGCTCGTAGGACACTGTTGGCCAATACAGTCATTCAACTAGATAATAAACAAAGCCGTCCCGACTTAATTTGCTGCCTGAGGGGGACCAGCAAAGGCTGCACAATTCCAGGGGATGCCGGAGTTGAAGATCAAGAATGGGAAAAAACTAACCAAATACAGAGACCTGGCCACTGAAACATCTCGCTTGTGGGTGAAACACACTTTGGTGGTCCCCGTCGTCCTTGGGGCTTTGGGAACAATATCAAGAAATTTCACACAGTAGTATAAGCGGTTGCAGATCTCAGAAATGACACCATCACAGCTACAAAAAACAGCAGTATTACAAACAGTAGACATACGGGGGCCGATATTTAACAGACACTTGGGTTTTTGGTTAAAACCTGTATCTGTTATAGAATACCAGTCAATGTTTTTTGTAATTCTGATTGATTGTGCCTGGTATTATTGAATAATAATAATAATAATAGTGTGTCAGCAAATCAATTCTTGTTTGTCGCAACTCTTCTCAGGGTTTTCCAGGCAGAGAATATTTAGAAGTGGTTGACCGTCCCCTTCTTCTTTGGAAAGGAGGGCTGGCTCTTTCTTGCAGGAGGCTGCCTGGTATTATTGAATAATAATAATAATGTACCAGCAAATCAATTCTTGTTTGTCGCAACCCTTCTCAGGGTTTCCCAAGCAGAGAATATTTAGAAGTGGCTGACCGTCCCATTATTCTGTGGAAAGGAGGGCTGGCTCTTTCTTGCAAGAGGTGCACCGTGGGGGGAATCGAACTCCCAACCTCTGGCTCCACAAGCCAAAGATTTGAACCCCTGAGCAATCCAGCCAGCACAACTATTCTTTGGCAAATCGCCTCCTTCTTTAAAAGACACCATACATGTAGAGGGATTTGATTATTTTTTTTAAAGGCAAGGGAAGGCACCTAATTAATTACATTCCTTCAAATGGAAGGGGGAAGATTAGAATTTTTCAATTTATCAGCTCCTAAAGCCAAGAAGAATGTGAAAATATAGCCCGTTGCCAGCTGGCGGTTTTTAATAAGCTTATAATTCCAGAGTCATGTGGAAATAAAGTAACTGCATTTGATCGCACCTTGAACAGCTGCCATATTATTCGGATCTACTCTGAAGTACGTAATCTTTCCTGTCATCAAAGAGCCGTATGTTTTTAAATATTGGACCAAAGTAGCACAGGAACACACCAGAACTTGGAAGTAACTAGTCCCAATTAACATGCTGCTTGTACCAAATTCTCTTTTGCAATAACTCACGGCATAACCAAGTTACATTACTATTTTAACATAACTGGGGATGATTCCAATCTTTTCCCCCGTGTAACTATGACAGTTTAGTTACTTTTATAGTTACAGTGTGTGTGCAGCCTTTTTATTTTTGCTTGCTCTGTACCCCAAGAAAAATAATTTCTAGCTTACTGCTCCCTCAAAAACAACTTTACTGTGGTTTTAAATTTACTTTACCAGCATGGGGTGCATAAAAATCAACACCGGAAAAATCTACACTTTTTCTTTGATGAGTTCAAACTGGCATACACAGCTTTCTCTCCCCCCATCTTAGCCACACAACAACCCCACAAGGCAGGTTGCATTGAGAGAGAGAGAGTACCCCGAGGTCATTCTGCGAGTTTCTACAGTTAAGCGGGAATTTGAACCCAGAACTCTTACGCCCAAGCTCAACATTCTAACCATGACACAGCCCTGGCTCTCTTGGAGGCATATAACATCCAGAAAGGACACATATTTGCCATTTCCCTGCTACTTTTGGCTCTAAAGATATATATAGCGGGTGCATCGTTTCTGAGCAAGCTTGACCGGTTTAATTTCTGCCTGGAAGGTAGATCAGAATTACTTTTCTCTTCCCCCCCCCTTCTTCTCCAACCTCCAGTCTTTATTGCTGGAGATTTTTTTCCCCCCTAAGTGGCAAGCTTATCAGGCAGTCGTTCCAGTTAAAAAATCCTGAAGGTCAGGCCAATTTCAGCTGCAAAAATGCTCTGCTGGGCCAGGAAACCCAGCCATTAAAACACCATTTGGCAATGGAGAGAGAGAGAGAGAACAGAATTCACATCTCTGATCCTAGCAAGAGACTGGCTTTGAAGGGAAGACGCTGGGGAAAAGTCTGTTGAGATCCGTCAGGCAGTCGTTCCAGTTAAAAAATCCTGAAGGTCAGGCCAATTTCAGCTGCAAAAATGCTCTGCTGGGCCAGGAAACCCAGCCATTAAAACACCATTTGGCAATGGAGAGAGAGAGAGAGAACAGAATTCACATCTCTGATCCTAGCAAGACACTGGCTTTGAAGGGAAGGCGCTGGGGAAAAGTCTGTTGAGATCCATCCAAAAAAGCAAATATTAGCTAACAATGCTAAAAAAAGAGAGCGAAACCTTCACCAGCTGCTCACTGTGGAGGTCGGTAATCTTAACTACTACAAAAAAGCACATTAAAACGTGTCATAATTCCTGATCATGGCCAAAAGAGCAAAACAAAACCCCAAAACTTTGCAAATCCATAGGTTAAAGGTTCATATTTTAAATTTTTCAACCACTAGAGTTTGAAAGCATTACTCTTCTTGGCTTACGACTCCCAGAATCCCCCAGCTGTCCTGCTTGGGGGGGGGGGATTCAGGGAATTTTCATCCAAAAAATAAATAAAGTAACGCCTTCAAGGATGACCCATTCCCCTGACATTTTCTCTCCCCCTCCCACCTTTCTACGCATTTCTGTAGTTTTGGATGTTTTGACGGAAACTCCTGAAAAACTCTAAGATAACCACAGCGGAATACACTCTCAAACCTCAAACAAGACCAAAAAAAGGGGGAATCCACAGCTTTTTTTGTGCCATGAAAACAACGGATTCATAATATGTGTCAATCGTGATTCGTGCCAATTAAGCACGATTCGTTTATGTTGCTTCGCTGCGTGATTTAGTCCAACAATCCCAATCACTAGAGAGAAGTTCCACTGTCAAATCATTAGAAAACTTACCTCCCACGCATTTGTCTTTCGTATAATTTCTCCCCAGAGTTAATCCTCTCTATCAGCCCTGTCTTCACTTTTGAAGCAAAGAAGCAGGGGTTTTTTTTAAAAACGGCGAGAAAGCTAGCAGTGTAACCTGAAAACCTGCACACATCTGTAAAATGCAGTCAAATTTAAAGATGTCTCCTTAGGAATGTGTTCATGGAAAGTGAATCAATGTGTCATGAATCAATTAGCAAACCACTTCCTCCTTATCAGCAACCACCTCTGCAAATAAAATAAAATACTACATCAGTCATCTTCCAGCTATCACAGAACCCATTGTTGATTGGGAATGAACCCCATGAAAACCAGCAGGCTTTTAAACGAAAGAAGAGATGCCTAAAATCCCAATCTTACTTTTTATTCTGCTACAATGGTCCTGTAGTGGCTCCTTTTTCATGATCTGTTGCACATTTGCTTGATCTCGTTATTTCAATCAGCCGGTCCTCCAGAAGGATAATGTTAAAGAAAGCAGAGTGTTCTCTGCCTCTGAAATGGGTCTATTAATATAATCTAGTATGGTAAACACTAGACTTTGTAAGTTGAGTTTGCCACCAGTAATAAAAGAATAATAATATGTTGTCAAGTCAATTGCGATCCTTTTTCAGGGTAGAGAAAACTCAGAAGTGTATTACCTTTCCTTGCCTCTAGGGGCACCCTAGGACGGTGCAGCCGGCCCAAGGCCACCCAGGCTGGCTCTTCTCCCTGATGACACGGTGGGGGAATCGAACTCCCAACTTCTTTGGCTCCCCAGCCTAACTCACGGAGCTATCTAGCCAGCATGGCTTCCCTTTAATGGCTAAGATGAGATGGACCACATAGCAGTGAGCCATTGAATGAAAGCCGGCTGTCTTAACCCAGCCCAAGAACCAACAAAAAAAGTAAGGTTGGGTGAAGATTTCAATTCAGTTTCTTTGCCTGGACAGTACTTCGGCTCCAGTTGCTCGGAGGGCGGCCACTCTGAACCCCCTCTGCTGGGGGATTCTGGGAAGCGTCCTCTCTAAGAGGACTGCCCCCTGCCCTTGCAGATTTGCCCCTCTCTATGGGTGAGCAGCCATTGCCAATGTACCTGCGGCAACGCTCCCATGAGGCCAGGTGCTCCTCTGCCTCTCCGGAGCGAAACAGATGGCTTCCCCCCCCACGCCTCTCGGTTCAGCAGTCGCCTTTCAACTAAACCACCTTGCGCTCTCTGCCAGCATCTCCACTCGCTGGTGGTTTTGATGTTTGCTTGTTTTTTGCAATGGCTGGCCTTTCTGCAGCAAAGGGGAAAATTTTTTTCTCTTGTGCTTCTGTGGCACCAACCTTGTTTATGACCACCGGTTCATCTCACCTTGCCTCCCTTCACCTCCCCAGGGAGGATTTAGTGTATGTGTAATTTTCCAGGAGGTCAGGCTTCATTGTTTCTTTACCTTCTGCGGTTGCCAGCTCTCCTGCCTTTAATTTAAGGACCCGTCATCTCGGTGAGTGACGGCCGGGCCTCCTCAGACGCATGAAAGAAAAAGAGCACCCCACACGTTCCATCATAGCTTCGCCTCCCTTTAAATCTGTCTGGGCCGAGAATTAAACCGGTCTCCTGTCCCCCCCCTTTTTTTGGGGTAAGATTTCCTCGCCTAACCTTAACAGTTCATCTTGTCTTAAAACTTGGTGTGAGCATGCCAAGTTTACAGTGCAACATGAGCAGCGGAAATATTCTTTTTTGGGGGGGGATTATGTGTACCCCAAATATGAATTTGCTCGGATTTTGTGGCACTTGCAAAGGAAACAAAAAAGGACACTGCAGTGTTCACGGGTAAATCCGACTCTTTGAACGGCAGAGCAGGGAAGGGACCCCATGGGATCATCCAGTCCAGCCCCTGGTAAGGAGGCCCAGTGGGGGAATTGAACTCCCAACCTCTGGCAGGGAGTTAAGTCTCTGAGCTATGTCTGCCACACTATAAAGTATGTTGTTGGATATGCGCTTTAGCATTCTAAGAACCTCCCCTTTCTTAAACTGTTGTTTTTATATCTCAGGATGCAAAGATAGGGTGGAAAGAAAAGGATCCATACCTGATAAAGCTAGAAAAATCAAGATTTTTCTCAAGATCAAAGATCGATCTTAAGACTCCACGGAGTTCTTTGTCTTTCCTCAACAAAACTAGCAAAGCCAAATGAATTCTGGCATAGTATTAAGGACATCTACATGAATAATTTCACTCAGATCCCTTAATTCACCACCTCCTAGTGCAGGATTGGGGGTTACTCTACTATGGAACTTCATATTCCATAGTCGGATTCCTATCTGGTCTGCAGATCAGGGTACATACAGTACCACATCTGCTGCCTGTCCCTAGGAGAAGTTTCATGTGCAGGAATACTAGAAGTTGGAGTAATTACTCATTTGGGACTGATTAGGCAGGAATACTAGAAGTTGGAGTAATTACTCGTTATTTGGGACTGATTAGCTGACCATCATTGTTATTTACTGAAAAAGTAACTCGATGCATTATAAATACTCTCTGGCTCTCCCTACTGGCTGATTCTGATATTGCATTTGGAAAATACTACTTTTAAAACTATAATACTTTCCCAGCCACTGTGAATTGATAAGAAAATTATATACCATTTAAAAAATTCCTGGCAAAGTGGCTCTAAAATGCCTTTAAAATCCTTTTTAAAAGCATGTTTTGGTACTACCCTGTTTTCCTGGAAAAAAGACTTAACCTGAAAATAAGCCCTAGTATGATTTTTCAGGATGCTTGTAAGCCCTGCCCCCAAAATAAGCCCCAGTTAAGTGAAACCCTACCCTCCACCCTTGTGCAGACATCAGAAGAAGATGGCATGGCTGGAAAATAAAACATCCCACGCTTGTAAGCCCTGCCCCCAAAATAAGCCCCAGTTAAGTGAAACCCCACCCTCCACCCTTGTGCAGACATCAGAAGAAGATGACATGGCTGGAAAATAAAACATCCCATGAAAATAAGCCATAATGCATTTTGGGAGCAAAAATTAATATAAAACCCTCTTATTTTGGGGGAAACGCGGTAACTCCAGTGCAGTACACCTGTAATATAGGTTTGCTCGTACTGATTCTTCTATTTTTGAAATGTATACTCTCATTAGCTCAAAATGCCAGTCACCACAGGTAAATTAGGTTATTTGTAACCAATTACTCCCACGTTCTCAGAAACCCTCAGGTAAATATTTACCTGGCATGAAAAGGAGCAGGATTGAAAACCTAATTGCTGTAAAATCAGCAGTTTTCTGCACTTCCACCACAAACGGAGGTTTTAGGGTGGTTTGGATAAAGGAAAATAGATCAGACAGCATTAAAGAGAAAGGAGGCATCTATGCACACAGAAAGGCATGCATTTTGCATATCCATTTTGAAGGAGGTTTATGCCTGGGGAATCCCATATCTCTGAAGATCCTGCAGATAAGAGTATATTGATGAATTCATATTTTATCTCACAATGGCAAATCTAGAATACAGGGCCGGGCTCAAAAACAAGCCACACAAAGTGTTTTCTGGAATATTTCCAGACCTCCTGAAATTTCCTATGAAGTGAGGGTTAGCAGAGGACTTAAGGATGTGGTTTAGTTAGGAATGTGGCTTGGTTACCAGATCTTTCATTCCTCTAACTTCCTGTTGACCCTGAAAACCAGAATATATTTCCATCTGCTTCTCAGCACCAAAAAGAAAGAAAAGAAATTAACCAGTATAATTCTTGGCCTTTAAAATTAATAATAATAAAAGTTTGAAACATGGCAAGTGGTTGAAACCTAATGCACGATTCTTCAGGTGATGATGAGGGGGAAAAAAACACTTATCTTCCAGGTCACGTTTTGTATGCATTTTGCAGCAAAAACCAATTCTAAGGTCTCGTCAATCTCAGGGAAGGTTAAAAGCAGGCCCTAAAGTAGGCTAAATTCTGAGGCACCACAGTATAACCCAAATAAATAAATAACCATGGAGTAAAATGTGGTATTTCCCCTTGGCAGAAAATCTGAGGTCCAAGTTCTGGCTGGCTTAGGTTGCATGCAAATCTGGCATCGAGAGATTAATTTATATGCAAATCTTGTAATTCTACGTGATGTGAGCAAGGCAATAAAAATGAAATTAAAGCGAGACCCAAGAAATGGCTCCAAAATTCTTTTCCAGACTTGAAAGAAACGATGGCAACTCTCTTACCTGCTGGTTTGGAGAAAGCGATCCGGGCTCACCTTCCCCCGCCTCGATACTGTTTGCCTTCTGGCAGCCTCAGGGGTCCTTCTGCCATCGCCGTTCTCCAGAGATCCAGAAATGTTTTATTTGACACCGGGTTTTTTTTTGAGTCACATTAGCAACTGATGCGCCATGGTTTGGAAGAGAGTCAGGGGCATGACATCAGGAAAGCAAGCAAGCAAGCGGGCGGGCGGCCAGCTGAAGAAGGAAATTTACTCACCCATTGGCCAACAAAATTAGCCTCAAAAAAGAAAAACGTACAGGATCATCTAGGATCTTGAAGGCCTTCGAAGTCAGTGGAGAGATAAACCCAAGGAGGTCCGTGCCAAAGTTGACTTTTGCAAAAGCCATCGGGCAGCTCGGAAGGAGGATAAAAAAATACCGCAATGGCCCCAGCGAGCCATTACGATTCCACTTTACCCTTAACGGGCCCTCTCTGTAATTATAGTGAAGAAAATATTTACTCCTGCATAAAGGGTGAACATCAATCAGATGTGCTGCTTTTTTCAAAACAAGGCTTAGAACGTAATACTGCTGCTTTTCTCCGTCACGGTCACTTTGTCTATGAAGACGACTCCAAAACAGTTAACTCGGAGGTCCATTAAACAGCTGTTCCCAGAAATAGTGTGTTTCTCTCTTCGGAGAATCTTTGGCGCTTTTATTTGGCTACAGAACCCCTGGATCTAGTTTTCGGGACCCCTTTGCTTTGCAAACATTCTGGAACTTCGGAAAAACGTTGCCTTCCAACGGGCCAAGTCCTTCGTCCATCAAGACAATGTCTGCTCCTTCCAGATATGTCAGGATGACTCTGAACAGCTCCCACTCGTGGAGCAGCTGGTTAGAGAGGGTGGACATCATCACAGCCCAGCCTTTGGAGAAGGGAGCTCCCCACCTCTGGTCTACGGTGGCTTTGCAGAATTTGCTCCTATCAAACCGAAGACGCTGGGGATCAAACCCAGAACCGTCTGCACCAAGTCATGTGAACCGCCAAGAACCTACCCCTCTTCCTATGCCTGCTTTTCCCAGCAGGATTTACACCCTAGCACCGACCGGTTGAGAAACCTCTCGAGTCTAGAATTCAAAAACAAAGCAACAAACGTCACTCCCCACCCCCAAACATTGCCAAATCAGAATATATATTTATTGGTTGTAAAATAAAAGTCGACAGTAAAAACACATTTTCCTTGAAAAACCCTGGACATCGGAGGTATGTCTTCTCTTTACAGGTGATCCGGCTTTCCCCCAGCTTTGCTAGAGTCCACGCTCTCCGCCGGTCCAGCACCGTCTTAAACCGTTGTCCTCTCCTCGGAGCATCCGTATTCTCTCAGCATCAGGGGGACGTAGGACTGGAGAGACGCAGATTTCTGATCGGCGGTTTGGCTGCGGATCTTAACCCAAGAGGGCTTAGGGTTCCCTTTGTACCCGAGCACAGCGAGAGTGCCTAGGATGAGGAGCAAGCGAGGGAGGAAGAGAGAAAGAGGAAGGGAAACAAGAAGAGAGGGAAGACCGGGATGTGATTATTGCTGTACAGGTAGGGAAATAAATAAGCTGTGAACAGGGGATTTTACTTTTTCACACTGCAGCTCCCAGTGGGAGACTATTAGAGGCACCATTACAAAAAAAGGAAATTCTTTCCAAGTTCTCCATAAATGATTAGAATGCATGCAATGTTTAGGCCTCCAAATTCTTACTAAGCTTTGACTCCCTTTCTACAGAAAGCATTAAGGAGACAGGCAACTGCAGGGGGGTCTGTGAATCGCATGCATGTGTTTAATATTCATTCTAAACCAAAGCGATGAATTAGGACGAGACCATAATCATCAACTGCAGAACCGGGAGGGACCCTATGGATTAGCCCCTAGCAAGGAGGCGAGGTGGGGAATCAAACTCCCAACTGGGGGTAGGGTTTGGGGAAACATGACACCACGGAGGCAGGTTTTCATTCAGTTGGAACATCCTAAGAGATCGTGCAATGAAGATGTCTGTGCATGGAAGGCGCCATCAGGATCTCCCATATAGGACAGGAACAGAGGGAAGGAAGTTTAGCCTGGATGGGGACAATGTTACAGCCCACACACCGGTTCTGGATGTACAGGTTGAAGGTCTGCACAGAGCTAAGGCAGTACTCAGATATGATAAACGTGTTTCAGCATGGCGAATTCAGCCACACAGGCGAAATCTTAGTCATTTCTTTATTTAAAACATCACACATTTTCTGGACAGCGTTAATGGAAAGCCGCAGGAGAGCACCCACAAAGTGCGTGGTGCTAACAAGCAATGACTGGAAAGAAGAAAAATACTAAGCCCACCGTTGACCTCTCTCCGAGAAGTCCTTCGACCCACTTCCAGGCAGCCAGCGGGCTGATGTTTCTTAACAACAAAAGAGAATGGCACTTTATAGACAAGACGGCCGGCCGGGCTGAGCTCCTGCTTGTTTTATAGAAGAAAGGGGAAGTTAAATAATAATGCTAATAACCAGGCATAGAAAACATGTTAAGTATGTGGTGCTTCATGCTCACAAACGCCACGGAAAACATGGATCTCGTGCCAGACAGACATTTCCTGTCCTTTGGGGCAAATGGTTTTATCGAAGAGGGTTTTTAAAAAAATCAAAGGCAATGAAGGGTCTCAATAGGAGGGGAATGAAGATCCTTATGGACTGAAGGGTTTTAGGAGAAGACTGTTCCCCTGGATGGTAAGTAAATTCCAACTGAATCCTAGGAAGAGCCCTGTTTATACACAGTCTTAAGTTTTTCAGACCGGTTATTGCAAGGAAGTGGGTGGCAACGGGCACCTGGTCTCAAGATGTCAGGAATGGTGGAGTAGCCGGCTGGCAAGGGCGGAACGGGAGTTGTTGTCGAGACCTCTAGAAGGCACTCGATGGAGCATCTAGTTCAGCCCTAAGCTGGCTTTGGAGAATAGGCCAGAAATATTCACCCCAACAGACAGGTCTGGCTCAGCATACGCTGGACATCCTGGGGTCCTTCTGAAAATCTGGCTCCCGGGACTGGATCTAGTACTGCAGAAGCAGCTTGAGGATCCAGGTAACATGTTAGGAGAAGCCAGGCTTCGTTAAGTACTGAGAGACCTCGGCTTGTCATGGTCTCTGCCTTCTCTCACCTCTGCATCTTGCATTCCAGCCAGCTCTGCTTCCTGATTGGTCGCCGGAAGATAAACAGGGGCTTAATCTACCAGTCCAATTATCGAGGCACATAGCTCTGTGTCGCAGGAGGAAAAGGGGGCTTGCCACTTCTAAATGCAATTCGGGGCATCTCAACTTGTTTGTTCCTCAGCTACAAAAGGAACAGTATAAAAAGCTGCTTCCCCGGTCATATCTTTCCAGAGACGGAGAACAACCAACGGAGAGAGGCAGCTGCATCAATGGTGCTTAAACGCCATGAGACATGCTTGGTGGTTTGCTCTTCACCAGCAGGGTCCTTCTTATCCTTCTGGTTTTGATCTGGGACAACGAAAGCGCCATCAGCTCGCCGAGCAAACCACGAGAGCCATCTGTTCATTGAAGCCAGTTCTGGCTGCGGTCATGGTGAAGCATCCAAAAGCTCATGGCAGCCAAAACTGGCCCAGACAGAGCTATCTAAAATTATCTGTTCTGTTTTGCTTGGAAAGGAGCGTCTGCTCAAAACAACCCCAGGAGACCAGCTCAACAAGGACTGGCGGTAGGACCAGCTGGAAAGGCTCCTTGTAGCCTTTAAGCGGGGAGATGAGTCGAGTCCACGCTGCCAAATACATTTTGGGAAAGGTCACTGCAGAATTGGTTCAACACCGAACAATACTGAGGGGCGGGGTGGGAGGGAGGACTCAGGTACCTTTGGCTTATTCTTCCACTACATATTTATTTCCACAAGAACAGAATTTCCTAGTGCTGCAAAGGAGTTGGAAAATGTTCTCTCTCTCTCACACACACACACACACACACACATACACTGAAAGCGTCAAAGATGGTGCATCATCAAGACTATTTGGAACAGCCATTTCTCCTTGCATTTGGCAATGAAATGTTGCGTCCAAATATTTTAAAATATATATATGCCATTCTATTTACTTGAGTCATTGCTGCTACGTTGCGCTGACTGTCAACCTCTCGGAGCTGTGATCTGCCCGGAAGCTGGAACAAAGCCCATTTCAAATTTGCTAAGCTGAGTTCACTTTTGGAACCGTGGACTTGTGACAGTTTATAGCTTTCCTTTCCTGCCACAAACTTCAGCTGGCTTAAACAGATCCACTTGGCTTTTCTATTATCTTCACTCCAACCGTGCAAGGTAGGCCCACTTAAAAGCACCGACTGGCCCAGCCAATGAATTTTAAGGCTCAATGGGTACTTGAGCAGTCACACAGAGTATTATGGACTTGATCCCAACACAAACAACATGTACAAAATAATAACAACATTATGATAAAATACAAAAATATCAAGAGTTAAAGGATATTCACCTTTATATAAAATAGTTAAAACGGGCTAAAAACATTTAAAAGCAGAGTATGCGCATACTGTCATGTATATAAATAGAAGGCCAGGATGGACATGAAACGAAAATAATATAACCAACGAATAAATATTTAAGCCATGCTACCACATAGACTTTTGTCATTCATTAAATCTAAGGTTCCTTTGGGTTACATTTCAAGTTGTGTATCACTGCGTTTTTAACTTTGTTGTACAATGTTTTTACAGCTGACACTGGCTGGAATCCTGTTGCATAGTGTAGCAAATTGCAACTAGAGTAGGCCCACTGAATCAGTGGGGATTTGTAAACACACACACACCCAGATCCTACGGGGTAGGGCGGGTTATATATGTTTAAATAAAATAAAATAAATCTCCATTGATTTCCTAAGGCCTACTCTAGTTCTGCCTTGCTACACTAAGCTGCAGGACCTCAGCCCTTATTTGGGTCTCTGTTTATACACGGGGCTGTTGCTTTGCTCCGCCAAAGGATAAGACCATCCCTGGGCAAATGCCACGCAGGCCCAAATTCTGCTGGAGGCTACTGTCTCCCCCTCCATCAAGAAACAAATATACTTATCACAGCCGTAAATATCTTTACAAGCATTTTAGGTCAAGACGAGACTGGTAGGACATTTGAAGAACAACATGAATGCATCATGTTGATGACCTGCGGATAGATGACCTGCGGTCCACAAATCATCTATATAAAAAGAGCCGCCATATAAAAAGAAACGTAAGTCAGAGAGTCACCTTTTTCATGGAAGATAATGGGCTTTGCCGAACCCAGCCTTGTAAATACAGACATCTTGTAGGCTGACATTTCGTCTCCGAGATCTCTAGTACAAACAAGAACGATTGATCTGGAAGACAGACGGGGAGAATGGGACCTCGAGCAAAACAAGGGGTGCCTCCCTTATTTCTACCTGTATCTACTAACGATGTACCCATGATCAATCCAACCACACATCCATCCACAGCACCCATTCATAAACAATCCTTGCATGGAGAAAACCCATCAATGGTTTATCAATGGTTCCCAACCTTGGGTCTCCAGATGTTCTTGGACTACAATTCCCAGAAGCCTTGACCACAAGCTCTGCTGGCCAGGATTTCTGGGAGTTTGCAGTTCAAGAACGTCCAGGGACTCAACGTTGGGAGCCACTGGTTTATATCATGAGCTGCCGTCATGATATAGAGCATTCGGGGTCTGGGTGGTCATGAACTACTCTGGAATGTATTGGACTTAAATTCTGTTTTCAGGGTATTTGACCTGCTTTTGTCAGGAGCCCAGCTTTGTGTCTATAAATCTCCTGTTGTTCCATGTTTATGTGGCGACGGGAGAAAAACCACAAGGAATGAGAAGCAGATGCAAACCAGAACACATCCAGTTCCACCGCTGAAAATACATGCAAGAGAAAAAAAGGAAAAGGGGGAAAAAAGGAAGGGGGGGAAGGCCATGCCTGGATGAGGCACAAGTACAGTCCTTCACTTGTTTTAAAAAAGAAAACAGGGAGGAGAAAGGGCAGGGAATGGACTAAGTTTTCTTGGAAAATCTCACCGCGCTTCTGATTCTAATATGCCACATAAAAGGCACAAAGCGGGAGAACCTGGCAAGGATAAATAGGCCAAATTTCAGAAATGGAAAAGGTGTCGCAGCCTGCCAGGAAACTGAAGAGTTGCAAGGAACTGGGGCTGGGGAAACGGGTCAAAGCAACAGCACCGAAAATCCTGAAGACTCCAAATGAAAATAACGAGAATGATAAGGACAGTGGAGGTAACAACAACAATAATGTCTTGTCTCCTGAAACTGGACAGCTTCAGAGTTTAAAAAATAACTTCCAAGGGGCCTTCAGCATCACCATGTGGCTGTTCTATTTGCAACGATGATGGCCATCCTAGAAGGATCATAGAAGGAGTTGAAAGGGGTTTATAAGGCCATCGAGTCTGACCCCTCTCGAGGAGGCACAGTGGGGAATCGAACTCTCAGCCTCTAACCACTGACCTATCCATGAGAGGGGCAACAGTTTTCTTACAAGTGCAGAGATTTTTTAAAAAGTTAGCTGTTTTTCCCAGCTTCTTCAAGGAACCCATTTTAGTCGCAAAAGGAGTTCACTCCAACCCCTCCTTTCCCCTCGGCTGCCTGTCAATCACTAAGCTGGGACTCACCTGTCTTTTATAGATGTTTCAACATAAGTAGATATAGCATTGGCAACTTTCCCGAGTCGGGTTAGATCAAAGTGCCGCCGACTCACGACCGCACCGGAGCAGGCATCTAAAACCAGGAAGAAGAGCCCCGGGCTGTGGAAAAAGGAGACGTCGTCGTTGATCTGCACCAAAAGGAAAGGTTAGGATGAGCTGTAGGGTCCGGGGTTCCCAACCTTGGTGTTTTGGGACTGCAGTTCCCAGAACCCTCAGCCAGAACAGCTCGGGGTAAGAAGGTTTCTGGGAGTGGCAGTTCAAGAATACTTGGATTACCCAAGGCTGGGAGCTACTGCGGTCGGCAAGGTGCTTGCAAACTTTCCAAGAGTCATGGCCTCATTTTTACAGCCCTGCTCAGCAAATGTGGCCTGCAATATTTTGAACCTGACTACCTACCTACCTACATAACTAACTGGGCTGAAAAAGAGCCTGCTAAACTACATGGAAAAACATGGAAGCTGAATTCATTGTAGGCCATGTTGGCAGACAATGTTCAGTGCAAAATCATCCCGCTTTACGTTGGACTGGGTATGAGAGCCCAATTCTTATTCTAGGAACTAGGCATAGACATTATCTTTTTAAATATTTTTGGACTTCAGAATCCCAGAATCCTCCATTTTGGGAACGCCACCTGCCAGACCTCAGCCTCAATTGTGCTCACCTTGAGGAAGGCTGGGCCTGGAAGCCTAGCTTCCTGTTAGAAAAGGAAGCTGCCCAATGCTTGCTAGGAGATGAACTTGGCCTGTCGTGGGCCATGAAGTCCTGCCTTTCTCCAGGTGAGCATAATTTAGGGGTGGGTCTGGCAGGCAGAACTCCCACAATGGGGAATTCTGGGATTTGAAGTCCGAACAAAAATGAATGCTACTTCTAACCTAGCCAAGAAATATTTGGACCTTCAGATGTTGGCCAGCTGCAGCAACCCCCAGCCCTAGTGACCAGAGTCAGTGGTGAAGGATCATGGGAAATATTGTCCAACCACACCTGGAGAACCACACCTTCTCTATGCCTGCACGAATCCCAACACCATACTGGTTTGTATTGGGATCTGTAAGCCCGAAGGTGGGAGAAGGCAGACACTTGTGAATCTATCACAAGTCTAAACAAAAGACTAAGGATGTAAATCTTCACAAACATCACTCTCACAGGCAGGAAGTAAAAGTTTTAAAAGTTTTTTTCCCTCTACCTCAGCAAGATTATAAGAGTGTTTTGTGCCAATTTTTGCATTTTGGCAGCTTTTCGTAAAAAGTCACTCTGTTGTGCAAAATTCTGTATTTTGCACAAACACGATGTATTATTTACAAAATACAAGGCATTTACTGAAAAGGGCAAGCTTATTGCCAGTGGTGGTGTTTTATGTATTTATTTATTTATTTTGGGGTGGGGAGAGGACACTGTAACTGATTAAAAAGTCACAGTCTCTTGTAGGAGAGAAAAATCCTGAAGCTGTTCTCCCATTGTTTTTCATTAGGGACAAGAAAATTTGTGAGCATTTGCTTCATACGTATTACACACATACCTTAATAAATGTGAGCCTTGAGTAGTTCTCCGCATCTGTTCTCCTTAGAGACTGAATCTCAATCCGAACATAATGCACAGAAGGTGTACTGGTGATTGCAACCTATAATCATAAAGAAAGAAGAGCCATTCTGAATGCACACATAGAGTTAGTTGCTTCTGGATGCTCTCATGCTCAGCTAGCTTTTCACACAGATTATCCATGTGATGAATAAACACTTTTCATGAAGTCTCTTCCACCAGCAATTGCTGGAAACAAACACCAACCAGCCACCCAAGAGAGTGTTTGCACTCAAGTTCTGGGCTCTGCGATAGTGCAGGACCCATGAAAAAGTGTGTGCCTCCATGCGCTTTCTCCTGCTTCCCTGTATCTGGCTATCTCTTGTTGGAGGTTCAACACTCGCCCTTTAATCTGGCCCTACCTAGCAATTATACTCTTAAAAATGAAGACCGGGAGACATCCTCAAACAAATGGTAGAAGGGTAACAATTTTGTGCAGCTGTAATTTAGGAAATGCATGGTAGTAGGGCATTTTCCCCCTCCCCCTGCCCCGTAGGAGGCCATGGGAGCAACTCCTGGCCTTGCCAAGTTATGGGGGAATCACAATTTAAGAATCTGAAAATCTTTCCTGCCATAGTTGAGCAGTTTGGGGGCATAATTTGGCATTGGCTTGACTTGGATATTCCCCCCCCATCTTGTACACTCATCAAGGGAGAGAGGATCTTGAGAGGAGATTAAAAACAGCACAAACTCTCTCCAAGATGAGTGCCTGTGTTTAGGCTAACTCAAACGCCACATGACCCAAAAGCCGGCTTTTGCATTCTCCGGAAGAGGCTTCATCATAAAGTCATCAAGGCAGAACAGAATTAAGATATTATGCAACACATATTTTTTTCCACCTTAGATTCAACATGCCCTTCCTTCTTTGAAAGCAAGGAAGGGATGATGTCTGTAATTCTTTGAGACATAAGGACAGACAAATAACAAATGAAGCAATAATCTAAGAGCAAGAGGAACACCTGCTGCTTCCGATTAAGAGCCAGGAATTGCAACCTTTTCAGTGAGGACTGGAAAGGAGGGAAAGAAATCCAGTGATTTCTGAATGTGGTCTGGTGTGTCCTAGTGACAAACTGACTTTTGCTTAGCTTTGTGTGAAGCTGCCGCCTTGAATTACCTGCCTCCCTGCATGGGGGAAAAAAAGCTGAGCAAACGGGAAGATCTTTCATTCCCTTTTCTATCAGCTTGCAATGAGGGTCTTTCCCCCGCTTTGCTGGTTGTTTTAAGAGGCAGTTAAAATTCTGCTGTCAAAGCCTCCAAACGGCTTGTTGGCTTCATGCAACAAATGGCGAATCATCCTCCACTGGCATGAGGCTGTGCAACTGATGAGAAAGACACTCTGCCTATGAGGAAAGTTGATACGGAAAAGTAAGACAAACGGACTGTCAAACTGTCAGCACTGTTTGGGATTAAAGGGCAGGGATTAGAGCCCAGGAACGGAGAATGGCAATCAATCAATTGTGTTTCATTTTTATCCTACCCGTCTTTCCAAAGAGCAGAAGGGTCGTCTCAGGTGGATCTCTGTGCGGGAAAGGCAAAAGAGCACCAATCCGCATTGAGACCCTAGTGGGCTGGGAAGGGTGAAGGCTGCCTCAGGCACCAGCAAGTATCCCATCTGGATGATTTCATCCCTCTCTTTTTCTGTCATGCATGCAGGCCATTTCTGAGCACTCTGCACCTAAGGGGTAGAGCTATGCTGAAGATATAATGGGGGAGGCAGCCCAAGGTTGAACTGGTGGAAGAGCACAGCTGGCTTCCTGGCTTGGACCACTCGCCATCACTGACCATGTGAGGTCTGGCCCACAAAGCTGTGGACTCAGTGGAGTCAGGCTCTGCCATGGTCCAAGTGCCAGGGCTATTTCATTCACGAGAATGTGTGATCTAACCTGCCACCCCCCTGCCCTCCGACTCTCTTGTTCGCTCTGAGCTTAGCTGAAACCTTTACAGTAGCTGATGAGTGACAGAACATCTCAGCACTGTATCGAATACAACATATTTGGGGTGTGTGTGTGGCTTGCTTGTGAATGTGCAATGGAGATTCATTAGCTTAACAAAAGACCCGCTTCCTTGGGGAGACAAAGAATGCTAAAACTTTAAAAAAGAAAAAATGGGGAAATACTGTTATGTGCATTTTTGGACTCTCCTTGGGGTTGTAGCAACAGTGAATGGCACGGTGTCATAAATGTGTCTTTCTGAATATAGCCAAGGCAGATTTCATTTCATACCCATGGAACTCCACACTGACTACAAGGCAGCCCCCGGCGCCGAATCCTTAGAGGCGGCGAATTTTTCCTCCAGAGGCTTTTCCCTGAAAATGGATTGCGAGGGCAGTTCCAGGGAACCCCGGAGGGCATCGTGGCTGTTATTTTAAGGCGCTCGCAGCCGCGCGGAGAACAGTAGCTGTGCCCTGTCCGAACTTCGTGCGCTTGGAGGTGTACAAAGAGATAACTAGGGGGAAAAAGAGAGAGAGAGACTGAGAAAAAAAATGAGCACAGCACGCCCAGTGACCCAAACACTTCCATGCTGGCACAAAAATCCCATTCGCATTCTTTCTGAATCAACACAGACACAAGGAAAGGGGGACCAGTGTGAAATAATTTACCGGATGTGCAAATAACACTCAAGAAAGTGAATCACATTTTGGGGGGGGGGAGGAGAAACACAGTGTGTCCTTTGCAAAACCCTTCAAAACTGTTGTTATAGATTCATTTATCCGTTATGCCGGTGGTTCTCAACCTTTAGATCAATGGGTGTTCTTGGACTGCAACTCCCAGCCAGCACAGCTAGTAGTGAAGGATTTTTGGGAGTTGCAGTCCAAGAACGCCGGGTTACCCAGATTGGGAACCGCTGAGTTCTACGAATATTCGGCTTTTCCAACAGCGAAGTCATGGTGGCCTTCATGGCTTTCTCTTTCTGGCTTCACCTACAAAATAATGCTGCAAAGTACTGTAGGCTACATTAGTCATGGCATGTTGAGGACTAGCACCTTGTTTCCTTGATCCTGGTCTAACGCTTTTATCCACAAAGCTAAAACTGGCCCTGGAATAGCCTTTCTCACCAATGACTTTCCATCAACCAGCAAGTATAACCTGCTGTCTGGAAGAGCCTACGTTCTCTTAGCCATTAGGCTGTTCCCAGGAAATTTTCCCACGGAACATAAGCCACGTTATGGCCATTTCACGCTTCTCGTGAAAGCTCAGCAATGCAAGGCGAGGTGTCAAGAAAAAGCAAAGATGTGCTGTTTAAACCTTGGAATTCCATTTGGGTCCAAGCCAAAACCATGTGGCATTTTAAAAAATAGATTAAAATAAATCAAAACCATGTACTGAGTCTTTTTTTAAAAAGAGGCGAGTGAGCTACAACATGTCATCACAAGTAAACGGCACCATAAAACCACACACACTGGTAAACAATCCATTTACATAACGGGGGTGGGTGGGTTTGAACATCTCATTCTCAAAACCAACGATATTCAACCAACAATGTTCCCCACGTCTGCCTCAAAAGGTGCAAAGGACAAGATTCTTCTCTGCCCTCTGGCAAGGGTCAAAAAGGCGGTCTGAAGTCCACAACGTGAAATGCTATTTTTAGCTCCCAAGCTGACAGTTATGAACGGTCCCGGTTCAGCAATGCAGAAAACACATGTGCATTTTGCTCTCCAAACGCCTGCAATTCATTCCGCCGGCCCTCTATTCAGCTGACTAGTTGCTCAATTTTTGAAATTTTTATTTATTAAAAAAATTAATAACAGGCGTGTGGTTTCCGCAGTGGATGAACATGTGTGGCTGTTATAATGTCCGAGCCCGCTTTTAATGGTCATCTGTGTTCCAGAAGCACCAACCTTTCACAGACAAACACATACATGAGCAGCACATATTGTATCTTAAGGAAGCGGCGTTATGCGCATCATGGGCTCAGCCTCACAGGCCACACAAGGGAACCGCAAGTGAAATAGTTGCCGGTTCCTGGTTTTCAAATTCTTTACTTCACTTCCCTTTGTTTAAAAGCAGAACTTGCACACCCCCTGGACATTTCCGGCGGACAGATTTTGTAATGCTAAAAAAAAATTAGGGGACAGTGGCGACACCTCATCCAAGTCATGGGTGTAGTTATCAGGGATGTTGGCAAATCTTTGGCGGAAAAATCCCAAGTCCATGTTTGAATCTTTGGCCTCAAGTTCTGAATTCCAAGCCCCTATTAAAAATAAGTTTTTTTCCTCAGAAAAAGAGAAGGATGGGTGGTTTCTGAGTCGTGACTTAAATCCGAGTCCTTGGGGGGCAAAAACACAGTGAGTCGTGTCACAGGTAGGACTTAAGTCCAACTGGACACCAAATCCCATGCCTCAGGTCCCCATTTCTGCTAGTTATGATGATAACAATAATCATCTTTGACCTCCAGAGCCAGAAAAGGGGACCCTCTGGGATCATCAAGTCCAGTCCTGTCAAGGAGGCTCCATAGGAGGGGAATCAAACTCCCAACCTCTGTTATCGCTGCCCCCATGGTGTGTAGACACAATACAGCTGTTAGCTCCTCACGGTGGCAAGGGTTAGGGGATCCACACAAAAGGCACTCGGTTTCACTCACCCGGACGCACTGTCGAAATAAAAGAGCCGCTCCTCGGTCTGGTTCATCAGGCCGCGGAGGGAAGAGGCTGCCCCGTAGGGCTTTACGCTGTGCGCCTTCCCCGTCGGTTGGCGGTAAATGTCTCCCACGATGACGAAAGCGGTGCCCTTGGGATAGCATAAGGCCACATCTACCCAGTCTCCTCTGGTGGGGAAAGAGAAAAGAGGGAGAGCATGAAAACAGGCAGAGCGCCAATACGTACAGGAGCTGTTATTATGGAAGCACCTTAGAAGCCTCTACCTCCAGTTGTGTGTGTGTGTGTGTGTGAACCCCCAACCCAGTCCTATAATCTCCAACCCAGCCCTCACCTCCATATTGTGTATGTGTGTGTGTGTGTGTGTGGGAACCCCCAACCCAGTCCTACAATCTCTAACCCAGTCCTCACCTCCATACGTCACAGAAGACACTCTTCAGCTGGTTAGGACTACCTACCTACCCAACCCAATGTCACAAGAACGCCTAGATTTTGTATGGTGCCTCAAAGACGTGTCTCAAGGTCGCTTAGCTCCCCGATGGAATGGGAGGGGGAAAGGCCATCTTCTCCTGTGTCTCAGGTGGCTGAATATCTTGGGTCTGCCCTGCTTCCCCAGGCATGGAAAGTTTCCACCTTCAATGCAGAAGTGGTGGGACAGTCCAGAAGAGGCTGCGCCCCAAAGCTTTTCCCCCTGCTCGCACGTGGGTCCGACCCCTCTTCAGCCTTGTGGTTGAAGAGCATGTGAGCATCGTATGGCACAGAACATTGACGTCTCACTCTTCAGCCTTGCGGTTGAAGAGCGAGACGTCAATATTCTGAGCCATACGATGCTCACATGCAACCGGGCCCATGAAGCGCCACAATGGCATCACTGTGAGAGCCTTCCACACCGTCACTGACAGGCAGATCCTTGCTCGGCTCTTATTTTCGACATCACCATAGTGACCTGGGCATGCAAGCCCCAAAACCTCAGCCATGGCCAACACCTTCAGTTCTAAAAACGTCAACTCAGAAAAATAACACAACCCACGACAATCTTTCCAGCACATGACTTCCCAGAACGCCTACTAACTGGAATAAGTCTTTCCAGAACATCTTCTGAAAGGCTTTGATTTTTTTTTATTTTTTTAAGGGAAAGAAAGAGAGAGAGAGAGACAGAAAAGAGAAAGAGAGAAAGAGAGAAAGAAAGAGAGAAAGAGAGAAAGAAAGAAAGAAAGAAAGAAAGAAGCTTTGGTAGCACTTGGGTCCCTGTTTCATGTCCAGGACAGGCATGACTCACCGAACCTTGGAGTGCTTTGGCTAAAACGGCCCAATGATGCATGGTTATGAAACAGAAAACCGTCCTCTGCCCAGGAATGGGTGGCTCTCACTTTTCCTTGGGAAACTGGATATTTCTCATTTTGGGTAGGCTCACACACCTGTGGCGTTGGTGCCCCATTTCAGCTACTTTGGAAATATTAATTCGTTTTACAGCTACGTACGTAAGCTGGCTTTATTATAGCCGGTTGGACTGAGACCGTCGTATTTCCACCCTGCGAGTAAATGGGCCCTAAGGTGGCCAAGCTCAGGGGTCTCTCAACCACTGAGCTGTCCAGCCAGTCCCTTGATAATCATCTTAGAACTGCAGAACTACAAGGGACTCTATGGATGAGTGACTCCAGCCCCTGTCAAGGAGGCACCACAAGGGAATCGAACTCTGAGGCCCAAACCACTGAGCTATCAAGCAGCTGTTAGTCTGACACCAGTTTTAACCCTTGCTGCTCCATCATCAGAAATCTTGGGATTTGTGGCTTGGTGTGGGATTTTGAAACTTGCTGGCATTCGATCTCTCTGGCAGCAAACTCTCGCTGTGTTACCCAAGAGTCTTGTAGGGTGAAGTGTTTGAAATGGGATTGAAATGAAATCATTGCACAGGGCAGACAAGAGATTAAATCACACAAGTCTGATTTTCGAAAATCCTGCCGGCCGTTCAACTGCTTCTCCAGACCGTTCCAGCCATCGGCTGGCGCTCCTGAATCTGCAGGAACACCAGCCTGTTTGTATTTTGAAAAGGACACCTTTAGTTCACGGAACCTTTAACTCATATTCCCTTTGCCAAAAATATTGGTTCCTGGGGGGAATGTTCATTCTTTGAGCAGATTGGAACATTTCAAAAATGCAGCCCTTTGACCCCGTTCCAAAATTAGTTCTTTTTGTTTTAAAATCAAGGATGGAGTTTTAAAACCTTTCTACCCCTCTGGTCTTGCCAAGAATCTAACTCCTCGGATAACAATCTGCAGCGGTTGTAAAGAGCAGCATCTAGAGAGGATTCGTATCCAGCTGTTCTATTAATAAAACCCACTCCTCCACATTCTACAAATTCTATTATTTTTATTTAGCTATTTCTATCCCCTCCTTTGGGAAACACAAACCGAGATGTGGTCACGTTTGCAAAAAAAATATATAAAATAAAAATTACCACCAAAAGCCCAATGATAAACATGGTTTCTGTTTTCGGGGAACCACACGTGCTGACGATCACAAAGCAAATAAACAAATGAGCAACGTGTGTAATTAAAAAGAAGGAGAAGAAGCCAGCCTTTACCGAACGGGAAATGCTATCCAACGGGATTGGAGGAAGGGGATGAGCGCTGAAGTGCGCCACTGGCATTCTGGGTCTGTGGTGCTGCTCTAGTTTTGCCAGTGCAAAATGCTTCAAGGGCATTCAATCACTACTGCCATGACCTTTAAAACAAACCCAACAACACAGCGGGTATCGGACTGTCTGGCAGAGAAGAGAAGGCGTGTGTTTTGAGTCTGGTTTTGGCTTCTGAGATCTAGAACACGTTATCCTTCCTCCTTCCCCCCCCTTGTAAAACGTGGTGGATTTGTTGACCACAGCATGATGGGAAACCCAGACTGCGCCTTCTGCTTTCTTGGTTGCCAAAGCACCGTCCAGTTAAGCTTCAAGACATTCCCTCTTCTGGAGGCCAATTCATAGGAATTTGTTTCCATAGACCTGGCTGGATAGCTCAGTGAGTTTGGAGTTCGATTCCCCCACTGGGTGCCTCCTAGGAGAAGAGCCAGCCTGGGTAGCCTTGGGCCAGCTGCACCGTCCCAAGATGCACCCCCAGAAGAAGGGAAGGGTCAACCACCTCTGAGTATTCTCTACCTGGAAAACTCTGAAAACAGTTGCCATGTGTCAGAATTGACTTGATGGCATATTATCCTTATTTATTCTTTCCATTGGTTTGGGATTTAAAAGCTCCAGTGTGAAATGAATCCAGATTTTAAAAGGAAAAAAATAAAATCTGAGATAAGGTTAGACTGCTGTTTACTGTCTGTTTTAGCAATATAGGTCAGTTCACTTGATGATCATAGGATTTTTCCCCTTTGACTTTTTCCCTTTTTATTATCCGAAAAGCATTTCTCCCCCCCCTCCGTCTTTTTTCCCCAACACCCAAATATTTGCCTCTGAAGAAAGTCAGACTTAGTAGGAACCAGAGCAAGGTTCCCACATTGCACAGTGACCTCTCCAAAACCTACAGTGAAATTTCAGAAAAAGGGAAAGGGGGGAAAAAAAAGATTTTGGAACAGGGAGACTCAAGTTTGCCTCCTGGTCTTGCCACATTGCTGTCCTTCAACAATCCATGCACTGTGCCTCCCATGTTTCTTTTTTTTATGAATTGATTTAGCTCTGTTTATATCCGCTTGCAAACAGCTGATGAAACAGATCCAATAGCAATTTCACAGTCTCTCATTTTTAAAAAAAAAATTAAAAAAATTAATTGCCCTGTTGACATTCACCATGTGCCCTCTTGACATTCACCAGCTTGGCATCCTTGAGACGCCTGCCCACACCTCTGGTGCAATGTTGTTGTTTTTTAAGGCTCCCATTTGCAGCCTGGTTTCATGGAGACAGACGGAGAAACCACGACTGGGGTGGAGCAAGAGCAGTCTGCAGATTCTCCAGGAGAGCACCCGCGGCCGTCTGAAAAAGCAATAATTGCTCAGAAGGAGATGGGACTTTTAAGACCCCTAAAGAGCAGGATATGCTTGATCATCTGAAGTCATAACAATGCCCATATTTATATAATTATATATAGTAATAATCAAGTGTCATCAAATCAATTCTGATTTATGGGGACCCTCTCCAAGGTTTCCCAGGTAGAGTATATTGCGAAGTTGAGAAGATGATTTATGGGGACCCTTTCCAGGGTTTCCCAGGTAGTGTATATTGCGAAGTTGAGAAGGGGTTCCCCATTTCCTTCCTCTAGGGGGTGCCCTGGGGCTGTGCAGCTTGCCCAAGGCCACCCAGGCTGGCTCTTCTCTCCCAAGAGGCCCCGTGCGGGAACCGAACTCTCAACCATCCCTAAACCCCTGAGCTATTCAGCCAGCGGGCTTTAGGAATAGCAAGTGAATTTCTTTACACCATTTTCCATACAGGTGATAGAGTGCAGGTAATACACACAGAACTTCTCAAATTCTGTAAAACTATACCTGGCAGGAGGTTATCTCAGGCAGGCAGATCAACCTGTGCTAATGGGAACCCTACCTGCAGACTGCTTAAAAACACTCGTCTCCTCACCGTTCCTGGGTTTGCCAAGGCTTATTTTCCACCTCCTCCACCTCCTCCTCATTTATCCCTCCCTTATTAATGCCAAACACAAAGGGTGTTCCTACGGTATGTGAGGGTGGGAGGCGGGAAGGGAAAAAAAATTAAAAAATCACCCTACGCACTGGGCATGCTTGCTACAGGCTGGTTCAAGTCTGGCTCCATTATCCCAGCTTTCCCTCCCCAGTGCATCACCGGCAAGGAATTTAATCACGGCGTGATTAACAGCTTAGGGAGCAAGAAAGAATAACACTTAACGAGGAGGGTGTAATCACCGGAGGACAACCCAACCCACGCGGGGCGAGAGTGGCCATTTTATTCCTGCTCGCTCACTCCACGAAGCAGAACCGGACGCTCCCGTAGAGGCAGTTTCTTGAACTGCCGTTTTCTTCTGAAAATGCAACCTGTCCTAAAACCCAGGAAGAAGGGAAGAGCCCAAGGGGGCAGCCCAAACATTCCGGCCGCCTGAGGCGGAAAACAAATGGCCAATAAATAAAACATATGGAAAATGGTGGAAAGAAATTCACCAGCTATTCCTAAGGCCAGCTGGCTGAATAGCTCAGGGGTTTAAGTCTC